AACATTCATCCCTGATTACGAACCAGGACTAACCTAGCTTTTATTGAGTTGAATTCATTAACATGCCCACGTTGTGGTAAATACAAACAGTCCCTCATCCAAAAATAGAACCAGGACTAACCTGATTCAAGGTTTGTAATCAGTAACATGCCAGCATTATGGCAAATATAAATGATTTTCCCCACTGTAGTCAGGTGTCCCTAGTCAAAAACACGTTTTTCAATTGAAAGTGAAACATTTTCCTCGCTGTAGCCAAGTGTCCCTGGTCAAAGACACGTTTTCCCAATTGATAGTAAAAACATTCTCTCTTCTGAAGCCAGAACTACGTGGTCCAAAACAAGTTAGCAATTATAGTGAAAACATTCTCCCTGTTGAAGCCAGGACTAACCTGGTCAAAAACAGGTTTGCAATTTATAGTGAAAACATTCTCCCTGCTGAAGCCAAGACTCACCTGGTCCAAACAGGTTCGCAATTTAAAGAAAAACATTCTCCCTGTTGAACCAAGGTTTAACCTGGTCCAAACAGGTTCGCAATTTTATAGCAAAACATTCTCCCTGCTGAAGCCAGGAATACCTGGTCCAAACAGATTTGCCCTGAATAGGAAAAAAAAATATCCTCCCGGCTGCAGCCAGGAACAACCTTATTCCACCCTTTTTCTATAAAACTGGGATGTTGCCTCATTGTAAAAAACTAATCTTAAGTCCAAACGATTTTTAAAAACTTGCTTAGATAATAAAAATCAGCTGGGCAGTGAAAAATGAAAGACAATGCCAATCAGCTACCCAGTACAAACGAAAGAGAGCAATTGCAAATATATTCCCTGTCAATGACAAAAAGATTGCAATTTTGGTCCAAAAACAGGTTTGCCATTAATAGTAAACATTCCCCCGCGGAAGCCAGGCTTGACCTGGTCCACAACCCAAATAATAGTAAAACATTCACCCCGCTGAAGCCAGGAATACCTGGTCCAAAAACAGGTTTGCAATGAAAAGGAAAAATATCCTCCCTGCTGAAAAAGGGGGGGAGGGTCCAGGTATTTTGGCGTGATTGTGCAATAAGCGTATTTTCGACGCATGAATTTGCGAAACAAAATCCAATCATGCGTAAATGCGCGGGTCGATATTGGAGCGAGACCTGTGAAACAGCACCACTCATGGCGCGACCGCGTGAAAATGATCCTGCAAGCGAATTCCAAAATGGAGCGCTTTCGTTTTTACATGCAGAAAGTCTTGATTTCCGGTACCAGACCAGGTAAATGTCTCAATTATTCCAATGCTCCGCCAACAACAAATAACTACTCTTTTAGACTGGTGTAACGATTTACACAACCTGCTTAGACAATGCAAATCAGCTACCCAATATAAATGAAAGAATGGAATTACAAATATAGTTCCTGAAGGTTGCCAATTTGGCCCTAGTATATACCATATTTTGAAAGCGCATAGCATATAAAGCAGGATTTTTTTTTATGATTTAATTTTTAAATTTGGCATAATTTTGACATGTTTGGAATAATAAGGAATACCATGCCTTGCTACCTTACCAACAATCTTGGTAAAGAAAAACACATTGTCCTTCTTTACAAAAAGACGGGTATTGGAAATTTTTTTCATTTCTTTACACAGCTTGAATAATTATCTCCATGTGACAGTAATTGACGATACCCGATTTAACATTAAACACAGATCCCACAATAACCTCTACCATCCAACAAAAATGGATTGAAGGTAATGCTGACATGCCTGTCACTGATGAATGACCGTTTTCCTACTATTTGATAAATGTTTAACGCTATAAATAGAAGAACAGCACTTTTATGGTATTGAGTTTCAAGTGGGAACGACAAATGTCTCCTAAATAACCTTCACAGCTACACCTAGCGGGGCGTTTTTGTTTTGTTTTGTATTATTTAAACCATGCAATTTGGCCAGTTTCTAGATAAGTAATTGGCAACTGGGATTACAATGACATAAAACACCCTATTAAATTAGTGTGTAAGTGAGCCACCACCCTTGCTTAGGCAAAGCAAAATGCAACCAACCTGACACTTTGCCACAAGAAAAAAAATAACACGGCAATAAGCCAGTGCGATTTGTACAATATATTGCTAGCGAATAGCAAATTTTTAATGTGTCCATATAAAAGGACTGCCTATACCCAACTTGTCAAGTAACATCAAAATAAAGGCTTGCGATTGGTCAGTATGCCTGCAACACAAAACTGCTCACATGAGAAGCTAACCTTGCAGCAGGATAGATAAACATAACGACCATAATAGCTGGGCGATGACATGAAAAATCACATGCTACCGAAAAACCCCCGCAGAGTTGCTTGCTTGGACACATTACCTTAATGTGATTACCATGACAATTGTTGTCAATAGCACATAAAGAAAAACAAAAACAATTTATCCAACAAGCATGTGTAATAAGAGTGCAGAAAAAAAAAAAAGCATGACACTTTAAGATCCACTTAGGCAACGATGCATCTTAAATTCTGTTTTAATAGCCAAATCATTTAATTCCATTAGTGTATGGAGGCAATGACTGTACTTTCGCAGGCAAAGCAAAAAATGAAACCAAAATGACACTTGAAAAAATCTAAGGTAGTGCGAAGGTAACTACAAAGACTTTTTTCATTGGCGCTAAACCCAAAACAAATTCTTCGGTTATCAGTGTATACAGACAGTAACAATCATTGCTTAGGCAAAGCCAAAGGTGTTACAGATATGATACTGTTGAACAAATGAAAACGCGACAAATGAAAATGACTGTAGGTACCAAGACACCTCTTGTAAAAGCAAACAAATCAATCAAATAAATGTGATCCGAAAGTAGCAATGAGCAAGATTCAGGTAACGATTACCCCTTAAAAATGACGTTTGTGAAAATATTTTCTTTGTTTTGTTTTTGTTTCGGGATAGTGGCAAGGGTCGAGGGACCAGTCTTAGGTTGTATAGTTACGCCTACTGACATATGTATGACGATGACTAAAAAGATGATAATCGAAGCAGGGAGCTCTTGCTTGTTCTGTACACCCAGGCTGCTTATTTAACGCTTCGAAAGCAAAAACGAAGTCGTTCTATGGCCTAATGGCGGGACACCAAATCACCGGAGCGCCCATTAACGGAAGGTCAAGGCTGATGACCCCGGACCTTTTAAGCTAGGTTAACAGAGGAACACTTTCGTCCAAGCCAGTACCATTACTTCATAATCAGGAAATGTCTTTCAAGAAATAAGTGGTTACAGAAAATTCGAAAAATAGGGAGCAAACATCAAAATGCACACTGTCAAGAGAAGAAATAAGAACGCTCTCACCAAGGCTTATTGAGGTCGTAAAAAACATGAGCAAATACACTTCCAATAAGTGCATAGGGTAACCATAGCTCCAACAGAAAAAACTTGAACGTAACGCCTCGGTCTTGGGTGATGCCTCCAGAGAAGAATCCAAAAGCTTGTAAAGCGTATCTATCTGTCTCGTTCTGCTTGCAGAATGAGAGTGCACTAGCTATCGTGCTATGTGGGCGTACCATCACCACATGGATTAAGGGAACGGAAGAACTATTGTTAACAGGACAATAGGTATTCAAGTCACGTGTGGTATTTTTTTCTAGTGGATTAACTCTGTTTAAACAAGTCTAAACAACATTAAATCACTAACTAACCTCAATTTGAAGCTTCTGTTTTCCAGCAGGCATACCAGTTGCATCATGGACTTTTGCCTTGATGACTGAAATCTGGAAAAGAAATACACAGATTGCTTGAAGGGAAGGTAGCAGTTGGTTTATAGTGAAGAACGGAAAATGCAAACAGCTATGAAAAACATTACTTTTGCACATTGAAGAGGATGCATATACAACAAAGGGAAAGCTAACTGATCCGTTTTATGCATACACAAAAATATCTGACTAGCTGACCACCCTTTCAAACTTGGGTTACTTAAAACGATTCTTGAGATTAAACTTTCGAAGTTTGAAGGCAGAAGTGTAAAGTTACATGGCAAACTTTAAGAATAGCAAACGAAGGTTGTGATATTACTTAGTAAAGAACGGTACAAATCCCAGGGTGTAGGTTAGTAAATATACAACAATATTTAACATTTTGTTGTGGACCAGAGAGCTCGTTCCACTGGGAAACTGCTACGAAAGGGGGAAATCAGATAAACAATCAGACAAAATAAATCAGACATCTTTACTTTGCGCTGTTGAGTAATGGATCCATCTACTTAGCACTCTCAAGTACGCGATCTATTAACTGGGTGCTCATTAATTAGAGGGTCTTTTACTTGGTGCTCTTTGTTAATTAAACGCTATTTAAAAGGGGCTTGTCCATACAAATTGCTAAATGAGACACAGTCAGTGTACCTAAATACTTATTGAAAAACATGTATGGAGAGGATTCAATACCTGGTCAGTCAAAGGCAACGTAAACATTAACGCTTGCCCATGACATCTCCATTCCGTCTTTTCTCTCATTTCCGGAACTTGCACCTTGAAAGTTACCGGACTTGGGTGCGTCGCCAAGAACTCTTGTTCACCCATTAGCTCATTATCACCGTCCATTCGTGAACGCTTGGCATATGGTTCATCTGACCTATCCTCCTGCAAGCTATCTGGTAATTGTGGTGGTGGGATTGGTTGAGGAAGACCTTGAGGAAGAGGGACGGGGGGCATTGGAACACCTGGAGGTGCCTGACCTGGGGCAAGTCCTGAAACGGATGAAATGAGTCCTCGTTTAATGGTCGAATTAAGAATGCTGCTTAGAAACTTAATAACAACAGAAAAATATTAGTCCGTCATAAGGCCTTTTAATTAGATCATATGACAGGCTGTTTTAAAGTTCGATTTAAACTTCTCCAATTTAGATCTTGTATAAACATTAGCGTTGTTATCATCATTTTCATTATGGTGAACGGGCTGCGTAAGTAAATTTAGCATTAACAAAGTTGCTGTTTATTTCTTGGCAATGTCTGTCAAATTCCAACTTCATCATTTTACCAGAAAAAAATCAAATGTAAATTGTGTGCAAAAACAAGAGCATTAAAAGAGAAATTGCAATAAAACTGATTCAACATCTAGCAAAATTTAGGGTAATGAATTTTCACGTCTCCTTTTCACTAATCACATTTCTCATTTTCACTAATCACATGTCTCCTTTACGCTAGTCACATGTCTCCTTTACACTAATCACATGTCTCCTTTTCACTAATCACATGTCTCCTTTTCACTAATCACATGTCTCCTTTTCACTAATCACATGTCTCCTTTTCACTAATCACATGGCTCCTTTACACTAATCATATGTCTCCTTTACACTAATCACAGCAGCCAGATGAAAGTGACAGAGGCTACCTTTTTTTTAAAAAAACAAATTTCGGAGAAGTAAAAAGTGCTTTAAGGTAACCTTATGCGGTTTTTATGAAAAGATGGAGGGATATTTCTCTGAGAAAGGACAAAACTGGAAACAACTTTACATTGCGGAGTTCACTAAAACAAAGGTAACTCTTTCATAAAAAATTTAGTAAAAGTAATTCAAAACTTAATAAATAAAAAATATATCAAAAAAGGGAAGCACTCACCCAGCAATCCTGGTTTCACATTTGGTGGTGGAATAGGTGGTTGCATCACTAGAGGTGGAACAGGTGGGGGTAGAATAGGAGGTGGGGGCAAACCCATCGAAGGGGGATGATGGTCACCAAGAGGGTTTCCTTGCTTCGATGTGGGTAACAATGGTGGTGGTTGGATAAGGGGTGGAGGCTCTGGCTGCCTCGGTGGTTCTGGGCGTTTGGGGGGCTCGCCGTGTGTGCTCATCTGTGGGGGCTGTGGCCTGTAGCCGAAGTCGGTTGCTTCAGGGGGTTTGGGAACTGACGGACCAATTTTTCCTTCATCATCAGTGGCGCTGTATAACAAACAATAAAACTGAATTTAGATTGTATCTATTTTTCAATGCACGACAGTCTCATTCAATATATGACAATTTAATATCAAAATATCAGTAACGGTTAAGCGTCCAAGAGGAGCACTGCAATTATAATGATATGCTCTCTAGGAATTGGAACATGGATTTCTCTTAACTATAAAACAATACACAAATGGATTCGAGAGCAGATATCACTCTGTTCAATTTTTGAAGAAAAAAAAGATACGCTAAAGAACCTGAAATTGATTATTTCCTATTTCATTTCGTCTTGAGGCCCCTCTCCTTCCAGTTTCAAATATACAATTGGAAAACCTGAGAATACAAACTCCTCGTCATATAAAAGATCAACCGTAATTCCTTAAGAATAAATGATATGAGAAACAAGGAAAACTTAAAAGAAGAGCCAATTTCTAACATGCTTCGTATGTTCCTACCACAATTGATTAGCTGTTCCCTAAGTGAAGTAATTTTGCAATGCCAGAACAAAGATCTTTGCAGAAGAAGGCTTATAGTTTCAGACCTGTAAAAAATAGGCATATTTTCCTAGGCTTGCCGACTTGCTGCTGTTATCTAAAAAAGACCCTGCTTTAAATAGAAAATTACAGGCAACGTACATAAGTCCTTTGGCTTTGTGAATAGCCTCGATCTGTTCCTCTAGGGTTATATTAGCTTGAGCGAGTTTCGTTGCACGTTCCATACTGGCTGTGTGTCCGTCCCAGACCACTTTATCTCCTCTTTTATCTTCGTCACCTGCTTTCTTCCCAATCATTATTTCCTCGGCTCCGACACCGAAGATATCAGGACGATACTGGGCTAGATCTTTCAAAGTTGAACCAACAGACACACCTATGGTCCAAGACACAAAACATGTAAAATTGACAAGATAACATTAAAGCAGAATAGATGTCTGGCTTATTTTGACCTATTTTCGGGCCGTATGGCAGATAACAATTACATAAAAAATTACAAAGGACAGGGAAACACTTCAAAGGAAATTTTAAGTGCCTTTTTAAAAAAAACAAAGGCTAAAAAAACCAGCTGATACTGGGTTAAATTTGTAACGTATTGTAAAGCATAAAATTTCATACTTTGCATTAAGAGTTAATTACATTGGTTGGGGAGCCATAAAAGTGGATAATAAAAAAAGGAGCATACTGAAGGGTTTAAAAAAGAAATGTTGGAATAACATGTAAAGTGGTTAATTCAAGGCCACCAGTTTAGCCGTGTAATGGTTGGCTATAAATTGAACTGCATATCAACGTATTCCTGTAACAAGCAATCAAATCAATCAAAAGAAAAAAGTTGACCAGTCGATAATACAATCAAAAGCAATCAAAAGCAATCAAAAACAATCAAAAGCAATCAAAAGCAATCAAAAACAATCAACAGCAATCACCTTCGGCAAACATTTGCTCTTGCTGCCGTTTCTCATCAGCAGCCCTTTGTTTAAGCTCCTTCCACCGTGGGTCCAGAAGATTGATCTTCATGTGTTCGGCCATAGCCTCCGCAGGGACCTTCTCTCCAGTCAAAGGTGATATCAAGTATTTGTCAGGAGGAGGAGCACTTGAAGGCGGTGGCGGCTTAGGGGCCTTCGGGTCATAGTCCCTTCGAATGTTGACATTAGGCCCTGGCGCCGTTGGTGGTAAAGGCGGTTGTTTCATCTCGGCGGATGGTGGATGCGGAGGCGACGGTGGGCGATTACTGTCTCTTGTAGCCTATGGTTAAAGTTTTTTGCTTTGTACCAAAAAATATATTGCTTTCTAAACACAGTTATTTCAACTCAATAGGTTTTAATTTTTCACTTTATATATGTAAAACTAAGCAGAAATTTATAAGGCACAACTAGAAAAGTTAAAGGGAGATGGGGATGTTAAATTTAAAAATATGACTCGTATGCTAAAATAATTCAAAATGTGTTAAAAGAAAATAAAAAATATTGACTTGGCCAACTCAAAAAAGCATAAATCCAATGAATATGATATAACAAATACACAAAAAGGACATACACTGGATTTGTCAATGCCAGTTTCTATTCCATTTTCTTCTTCATCATCTTCCACTTCCATTTCCATTTCCTCTGCATTGATTTCACCAGTTTCCTAAAGCAAAACAACAAAATTCGGATTAATCTAGCTGCGAGCAAGATTTGGCTATCTTTTGAATATTGATTCTTATTTTGGGCATGTTGAAACTAAGATCATGAAATGCCAAAATTTATTAAACAAGTTTCATTAAGTGGAGACGTGCCTGCATGCGTTCGAATCTTTCTTGTGCAAGAATTCTGGCTCCAAGTTGCTCCAATGTAACAGGCGGAGGCAGATTGGCTACAAAAAGGAGAAAAATAGTCGTTACAAATGAATTGCAACTAATGAGACAATAACAGTGTATTTCTCGGCTTTGTGAAGGACCTGTATTTGCAAAAGTCGTCCGTTATGAGAAAATTGCCAGGAAAATTCTCAGACCATTCTCAGGAGTATCTGTGATAAATCAAAGTGGAAACATATTTTAAGGAAAGTCCTTCTTAGTTGCTTAGAGGATGGTTTCTCATATGTTCTTCCAAATATCAACTGCGTCATAGGTAGTTCCTCTAGGTACCTTCCCTTTGGGACGATAATTCAAGTGGAAAGGGATACATTGGAACTCAGCTGATAAAAATAGCAGTTTGTTTACCAATTTCGTCTTCTCTGAAGTTCACAGTCTCAACAACGACAAAATCGTGCCAATCCACTTGGGCAAAGGCGACTGAAAAAGATAGAGATGGGGTTATTTTAATGCTCAGCAACTGCCAAAACTTTGTTAGTTAAAATGATGGTTGCACATATGGTTTATGATAAAATTTAAAGCTTAATTACAAATAAAGATCATAACTTGATCCACCAAAATGACCACCAATTTGTGCCACCAAAAGATTGTTTGCATAAAGATCATAGTTGAAACAGACAAAAGTAAAGTTAATTAAACTCATTACTTGGCTTGGCAGACATTGCAGTTGTGCACAACACATGATCGTAAACTGTTCAATCTTTTAATAACTTCTCCCTCCCCTCTTCAGACATTCCTCGCCCCCCTCAGACAGATTCGGCTTAAACTCTTTCCAATGCTAGAATGTCGTACATTGACGAATGAAGAATTTTTGAAGGAGTGGGGGGAGACACATATAGGCAAAAAGATACATCTCAGCAAGCTGCGGTGTTTTCTTAATTTTGCTGGGACTACTGTGAAAGAGCAATTATCTGCATAATGTTCTGGCAAGCAGTTGTTGCAGGGATTAATGATTGAATCAAGAAATTCACCAGCATCCTACCTCTTTCGCGTTCTCTTTCCTCTTCCTCTTTTCTCCTTTCCCTTTCCTGATACCTGGCCCATTCCACTCGATGTTGGACGATGTCATATACCTAGCAAAAAAAAGTCAATAAATTTATATTCATACTATCTTGTAACAGAAAAATACAGAGAGAATGGGAAAATAAAACTGGTTCATCATCTATGATATGAACCATGTATCTTAATGGTGAAACCGTACGAAATTGTCGAAACGTGGCACAAATTTTATAACATGACATGTGAAATCTTAGATGCGTATGGAGGGAAGCTGGAAAAAGGGAATTAGAAAAGTAAAGATGGGGCTTGTATACAATCCGTATGTAGGGGGAATGTCCGTCAGAAAAGGCACCCTCCTAGGATGATGAGGTAGGTTGTATTTCGTATTCCCACTGCATAATACTTTTGTATTGCTATTAAGTATTTGGCTAGGAGGTCGGAAGGTGCTGCTAGCAGGACCAAAGGTAAACAGCCGATCTTGGCTTCAAAACCATAAACTTTAGTATATACTATTCTAATTCTCAAAAGAGAATACCAACCTTGAATGGGTCATCGACATTTCCTTTCAACTTTTTGTCAAGATCAGAAGGCGGTAACAATACCTATAAAAATTCAAGATGGTAATGAAGACTTAAAATGTGAAGAATCCAATATTTGACTAAATTAATGAAACAGAGGCCTGCAGCCAAAGCTTTGAACAACAGACATCTCCCTAGAACGAACAGTAACGCCGAACCCATGGGTTTGACTACAACTCATTGCTTGCAGCCAAAGCCTTGAACAACAGACATCTCCCTGGAACGAACAGTAACGCCGGTCCCATGACTACAACTCGTTTATCATCTTGTTGGCTAAAAGGGAGATCAATTTCCAGAAGCTCCACTTGTTGTTCAAGAATATAAAATGAGCTGCTGGTGGTTTGTTCGAAATCACCAAAAAAAGTCAGTTGCCTTTTATATAAAATACAGATTACACAACCATTATACATCAAATGGGTTAATGAAAAAGTTTCAGCCACGTTTCACATGCCAATCTGACTTCAATTTTCTTTGGCTATCAAACACATGCTACTACTGCAATATCTTGATTAATTTCAGGGCACTACATTGGAGAGGCAATTCTTGATGTAACAAACTAAACCAAGCAGATAAAAATTCAAGGTTTTACAAAAAAGCAGGATATCATACCATACCTTTGTGTACTGTTCAACAAGTTTGGTGAAGTATTGAAACAAACTGTGTTGTGGTCTCAGAAAATCAAACTGATAGTTTCTCTATAAAACAAAATGGGAGTTGTTATTCATCTACATATCACAATTTATGGAAAGCAGCTAGAAAGCTGTTGAAGACTTACAGTGCTTGTAATTTATACAATTATGTATGCAACTAATTTTTGGGCAAGCTTATGAATCAGTGATGAAAGCCAGCATCACAAGCCAAATTACACCAAAAAAAATCTATGGTGATGAGAGCTGGATCACAAGAATGTCTAAGCGAAAAATAAAAATGAAGGAGACCAGTGGATCAATGGATTAATATACTGCAAAGAAGAGTTTAACAAAGTATTCAGATCTTGAAAGAGAGGGAAAGTAAACCTCTCCCAACAGCACAAAAGACGGTGTTTGGATACTTAAGAAAATTACATGATAGAAAACAATTAGAATGGATAGGTAAAAATGTGTGAACATCTCCTATATGAGCAAAATTTCATTCTAGGCTTAAAAGTTTGGTCATTGCAAAAAATGTCCCACTGCTTTCTGTGGATGTATTGAAAGGGAATTGTATTTTCAGTGGATGATTACCTGTTCTCTGTTAATGAGATTAGTTAGAAAAGTTCTGCCATTTTTAGCAACAAACTGTGCTGTTAATTTAACAATATCCCTGAAATAAGAGAGAAATGTTATTTCATAAAAAGGGAACGGGTAACAATGTTCAACAATTTAATGCAAACACAATGTCCTAAAGTAATTTTTGCTCAAAGTGAGAAATCTTTTATCTATATGCATATATTTCACAGGTACCACTTAACTTTCAAACAGGAAATTATTGATGTGACAGGACAAAATATTATTGAAAACAGCACAATTGAATGTAGAAATATATGCTTAGACATCTGCCTTGAAATGAATAGTATTTCTCAGGTTATTAGCAGAGTGGCAACAAGGAGACTGTATTGGCTACAGCCTCCCCTGTTGAGGCAAGCAAGCTTCCAGTCAGATGAAAATTTTTTTTGTTGCACAGCAAGGCTCCTCATAATACAAATATTATCAAGCTGCCAGCCCAAAAATTCTAACATACTAAAGTATATACCTTTTATTACTCAATATGAAGTTGAAAAATAAATGCTTCTGATCCAAAAAATTAGTCAAATTAGATAATACTTAGCTTTTATCACTTCTATCTTAAATTTTTTGATAAATACTAAAACCTGCATGACAGTATATAGCCACCCTCAACAAAGTATGTGCCAGTATCATGATTTAAAGATGTTAATTTAAAGACAAGCAAAAATTATTGACTTACAAATCAATAGCAGATATTGAGGGGGGATCAGCAATGAATTCAAAATCTGGTGGAGGCTCTTTCGGCACAACTGGCTCAGTCACTTGTGGAACAGCTTGCTTGATTTGCTTGAAAAAAACAACATTATAACATAAATTGCAATTGAAAATGTTTCCTATTTTAAAATCTAAATAGAAAAGTAAAGACTTCCTAGCCTAATCATATTTTTAGCTCAAAAACTCAATGAAATCATAATCAAATCCTTGATTATAAAAACCTTGACCCTTTCAACTGATGTTTTATATTGAAAGTGGCCATGAGTTGAGTAATATACTAAGTTTTAAAATGTTTTCTCAAATATATTTTTCATTTACGAAATAATTATGCTATAATTTCAAAGCATAAGGCTGCCTTGACACTGCACAATATTTTAAAAGTGGCTTCAGTTGCTATGAATTTCTATAGAATCTATCGTAGTGTTCAAATTGCCAAATATAAAGATGCTAGGTAATGCAATTTTGTTTAGTTATTTGCTCATGCAGACAAGTCACTCACTGCAATCAATTAATAACCAGCTTTTAGGGGCTTTTTGACAAGATAAGGTAATAGATCCACTGAATTCTCCCTCTTTTGACTTCATTTCATCATTGGTTTTCTGCTTATGAATGATTGCATGCCCCATTTTCCAATTCTCATATTTCAAATTTGGCATGCTCTGACAAACAGGGATGCATTTGACATAACAGGGACGCAGGGACATAAACAAAAGAATTCCTATGAAAAAGGACATTGCACAAGGTTTTTAATAGCGGCAACTATGAACAGCCAAAAGTGGGAGCTAGCAAGTATAAACTTGCGCTCTTCAACAATCTGTTTCATATGTTTTCATGATAATGTATTGTCATTGTTGTTACCTTGATTTGAGTAGTTTGTTGGGACGGGGCTGCCTTTGGAGCTGCTGGAGTGATACCTGTGAAAATGACAAAATCAGTGTAGACTTAGGCTGTGAAAAATGCAAAACTGCCTGTATTATATTTGGTTCTTTAGGAGTTCTTAGGCACAAAATGTATTGTCAAAGAAAACCTATGATTTACAGGACAATGATATATTATGTTTACTAACAAGCTGGTAATGTGTGAACCTGGCTGTTGGAGATGTAGTTGAATGATGCAGGGAGCTATAGATAATTTGCATACAAGGAACAAGACTTAAAATAATTTTTCTAGGAAAAAAAGCTCAATTATTGACAATTTACCTTGCTGATCATTTTCATGGAACTCTTTCTTTTTATGCTGATAATATGCATGGTAGGGATCATTTGGGTTCAAAAAATTAAACTTTGGATTATTTGCTTCATTGGCTCTGATCCTTTCTTCAAACTCTGGGCCTAAATAAACAAAATTTCTGAATGAAAAAAGAGGCAGTAAAGGTTAATAGAGAAAATTCAAAATCTTTTTCGAAGAAGATAACACGTCTGTGATCATTCAGATAAAATTTAAGCATAGAAACTAACAGACAACTACTTACTCTACATTTTATACTTAATAAACTTTTGTCTTGAAAAAAAGAGGTTTTTTAAAATAATATTTTACAAAACAAAATATCTACTTTTTATATCAAGTTTATTATAAAAGACATGAAGAAGCCAAGTTGGAAACAGTGCAACACAAAATGCCAAATTTATAACATGTTCTTATGAATTTTTAAAAAGGCACAAAATAAACATTTAGAATAAACAAGAAATTGAAATAAATAAGAAATTTAAACTATATAGCAAAATAGCAAAATAGCAAAATATGAAGACATCAGTACAGGGCAAAAGACATTACATACCATTTCTCGCCACAAAATTTGCAGTCTTGTCAACAATGTCTTATCACTGTCAAGGAGATCAACTCATTAAAAAATTTTCATTAAATTGAACTCTGGTTTCATCAATGTTTTTCAGAGGATGTTAATTCTGCACCATCAACTATAAGACAATTCATACATTACCTTATCATACAACATTCATCAGAATTGGTACACAGAGTACCATTCAAATTGTTCATGAATTTGAGTGCCTATTTTCAAGAGATCTTTGACAAGAGTCTCAAGTATTTGGCATAGAGCAATGCTTTGATTTACTTTGGTGTAGCATTTTTGTTGAAAAGGAAATGCCTTATGATGTGGCACACAAAAGCTCATTAATCAGTCTAAAATGAATAACTATTGTGTAGTCATTCTCAAAACTCCAGGTGATGTGCACTGGTGAAAAATGTCATGGCACAGCATACAATTTAGGACAAAGGCTTTTAGTATCTAGCCATTATTAATTCACCCTGGATCAATCTTCTTATTGTATCGAAACAATAATTCTATAATTGAGTAGACTACACTAGGGGTGTTGTGGCTAGTGACTCTTAGGGGGGAGGGAAGGTTGTTCACAGCTTGTAAATTTTCTGACAATGGTTTTAAATTAAAAATATGACAATGGTTTTAAATTTTTTTAAATCTAGAAAGAATAAAAAATACAGCAAACAACATTTTTACTGATTTCAATAAGTCGGTCAGAGAAAAGCCAGCATCGACATTCAAATATTTGATAATCATAAAACAACTTTTAGTGCATGAAAAGTGTGCCAGCAAACTTGCAAATTACTTCATCATAACTGAGTGTCAAATAAGTCAAGCTCAACATTTATTTAACCTTTCTTGGCCTATTGTTGATCGCAGCCTGTTTTTTACACACTTGGGCTTTAAAAAAAATGCACCCGCAAGTAATACCAATTGGCAAGCTTTGTGTACAAATGTACAGACTTGGAGAGGCAGACTTGTAACCATGAGTTTTACTGTCTTCAGAAAACTTGTTATGTTTATATCTTCCTATTTACATTGACTAGTTCCTTTGAACTTTCTTGCTTTTCTATGAAATACAAATTTCTTTTGCTGAACAGACACAAAATTTTTGACAAATTCCTGAATGGTCCCTGAAAGGGGCACAGTGGCATGCCAGACTGGAAACTTTATTTCTTGTGGGGGCAAGTTCGCGCGCCTGACTGCGCGTCTGAAATTACGCACTTTAGAAAAATTTGTATTGTTATTAATGTAAAATGTATTCAAATAGGGACTTTGCGCAGCCAAAATGCAAAAGTGTTCGGATTGAAAATTTGAGTGTGCGGGCAATATATCGCAGGCGTGTGACGAAGTTTCCAGCCTGGGTGGCATGTGGGGGCACAATGCCTCTGGACTTCTCTAGTCTACCTAGACAGATCAGATATCTGGATTTGCACCAGACTGCAAAGTTTTGGTATACGTGGGGAATGCAATAATTTTTTCATTGTATATTTCCGAGCATTTTTTAAAAAATAGATCAATTTGTGCTGCAGCACAGACTTTCATGCGAATACCTCAACACAGAGCTTACAAGTGCTATTTAAATATAAAATCCTACAGTTCTTAACCTCCCATTTTGCAACATGATTTGTACCTGCGCAAGCATAAGCGGCAGAAAATAATTCCCGGCACACAAAAATTTATTCTGCACTCTGAGATGTGCATCTATTTAACTTGTTTTCACCCCCACCAAAAATGTGTGATCAAATATCAAGTTGACGAAAATTTGACAAAGAAAATGAATCATATGGAATCAGCTGCAGAAAAATAAAGATAAGCTTCTTTGCATCATTTGCAACGTCTGGAACCAGCTAAAGCTTTTCAGTTTTACTTTTCATGAAAAAGGATACTCCTTACTTCCGGTGGTGGATAAATAATTCCAATCGTAGGCCTCGAGACTGACTCGACTTCCTTTATCTTATTCTCCTCTTGTTTTTCTTTCTCTTCATCTTTGTCATTCAAAGAGATATTCTCCACTTCCAATGCAACCACGGGTGCCATTTTGAATCGGCTAACAATTATGGCCTAAGGCCTATCACAATGCGGCTCAATAGTGAGCTATTATAGATGTCTTTTGTTACAGTCCTTAAATGAAAGTTCCTCTTATATTGCCAAATTCTTCATGCCTTTCGATGATATTTTTATCTTTTATTAAGACAAGCACTTTGTTCTTAAATGTTCTCTCTGCCAACGTTGATTCTACGCAGTGTCACAACAACCACGAGCATGCGTTAGCTCCTTCGCATGAATCCGGGGATAAAGACATTTAGATCAGTGGGGGATATCTCTATGAGATTCTATGAGATAAGGTTCGGCTGCGGTGGAAAAACATGAGTTTTTAACTATTTATCTGGGAATAAATAAACAATCTTTTGGTGGTACAAAACTTGAAAATGGCTTTGAAAAAAGCAAACATTTAGTAAACTAAAGCTTTCCATCTGACACTTTTTAGAATTTAAAACGTTAGAACAACATAGACCGAAAACTCTACGCTAGGAAATATATGTACCCAGTTGTGGATCGAAATAGACCAATCCTGTTGAGGTTGACTGTTGAGCACATGACTGTTGAGGTTGACCAATCAGTGCCGCTTGCCTTTTGAGAATGTCACCAATGGAGTCCTAAGGTGAAAACGAACTCTTTTTGTCTACACAATAGCGATTTTTTCGTGCTTATGTAGATAGATTCCAAAAAACTGCTAGGTGGAACGACGATCGGGCTTTACCAATAATCCGAAACATGTCGCCATTATAGTTCTTTGCACAATCTGGGCTTTCCAGTAAATGCTGCTCGATAGCAGAATCGCAGGTTTTAGTTGTAATTTTAGATTTGCAAGACCGAGGTGGCTGTTCTCTTTGGGGACGACTTTTGTTCCTAATACTAGACGGAACATGTTGCTCTATTCTATCCGCCAATCTTTGGGTAGTGCGTCCTACGTAGCCAGAATCGCACTGGCACGTAAATTCATAAATAACGGAACTTTTTGTATGGCAGGAACGCAGTTATTTTGAATGGACGAAAGTGATTTCGCAAAAAATGAGCCACCAGTTCAAAGATAACAATGCTAAATACATGATAAGTTTATATGAACTGTTCAGTTTCAAGCAGCTTGTGGAGGAGCCAACAAGGGTCACCCTTGAAACAACAATCATTGACAACATTGCCACTACATGTCCTAGAAACATTGTTGAAGCAGGGGTTCGTGAAGTCTCTCTAAGTGATCATTTTATGGTTTACTGCATTCGTAAATTCGACGGTGCAGTAAAATAGACATTAAACAGAGCAAGATTTCCTGTCCGTTGCCTCTGAGCCTCTGATATATGTTGGGAGCATATGTACTAACTAAGCAATGATGTTAATATACTTGTTAATGTTTGGTTACTTTAGTTTTCTTCTCTCATTGAAAAAATACAGCCCTTGCTTTGACAAACACCTCAAGAGTTTGATGATGAACAGAAACAGACTGAAAAAAGCTGCTCTCAAAAGCCAGTCACCAAATCTTATGGATTCATAAACACAGGCTCGAAATAAAGTCAACTTCCTTAATCTCCAGTTTAAAAAGCAATATTTTGCCACACAAATTTCTGCATATAAAGGAAACATGAAGGAAACTTGGAAATCAATTAATAACTCCTGAACAAAAGATCAAAGTCTGGCAATATTGATAGTATCAAAGATTCAGGTAAAGGATTATTAACAAAAAAGAAACCTCAAATATAATAAATTGTTTTTCTGTACAATTGGTGAAAACTTAGCCAGCAAAATCGAGTGGAATGACAATATCCCCTGCTATTTCCTTAAACTGGCCTTACCTCTTATTGAGAAAGTTTTGGCCTGTTTGTTCAATACATCACTTGAAACTAACATTTCTCCAATTTCATGAAAATTAGCAAGAGTGGCTCAACATCATTTCACCCAACCTTCCGCCCTTTCCAAGAACGCTAATATGTTCTTATTTTCAGCATCTATGTATTGTCTCACCAATTGTAAATCTTATGTTTTAGCTTTTTGAGGAAGAACTGATCATTACATATAACGAAAATACACGAACTTTTCATATGCTTGAAAAGGTACTTTAAAATGGCTGTGAAAAAGGCAAACATTTTACACCATGATAACTAAAAGCTATTTCGTCTGGGTTCTTTTGCTGTTTGAGGAGGAATTGTCAGGGAAATAAGATGAAAAAAACAAAACTACTAAAATACGATACGGACTTGATATCATCAAAGAGTGTCTAATAATTTACAGATTGTTCAGTAAATATAAAAATTACAATCAAAGAATGTCTTGAACGACAACGAATTATACATGCTACAGACCACTCTAAGAGCAGCAGATATTAAATGCAAATAACTAAAATTTAAAATTAAATACTATTTTCAAATCTACTTTATTGAAATAGAAGGAAAAAGATATCCACTTGGTTAAATGCATCGCTCGTGAAGCTCATCGCCGCAGCACAAATCACCCGTTCTCTCAATATTTCCAGGATAGCAAGAACATTACCATCTGAGGATTATCTTTAAGATTATAATCGAGCTAAGCTCTGGCTAAAAGAGGGGAAAGATGCCCACATTGCCACATGGTACCTCATTGGTTGGACAAAACTTAAATTCGCAGTCATATATATACAATGCTTTGAAAGTTTGTTATACAGGGTTTCATGAATCAGTGCCTGGACTTCGATTGTCTGTGGCTCTGACACGGACTTGCGGTGATGGGAGCGTTCTATTGGGGTTTCGCTGCTGCCTCGTTGTGGGTCTTACCAAAGGGTGCAATGGATCGGAGACGGAGTCAACCGAGGCTGCGGATGCTGGTCGAGATCTTGTCAGGGCTGCGGAGCCTGGTCTTGAATCGTCACCGTCGACAGCCGGTAATTCCACTGTAATAAGTAAGGCAAAACGTTAATTAAAAAGCATCTTATTGGTTTCGTTTGGTTAATGACACAACATAAACTTAGAAGCTGCTTCACACAAAATTATTGAAGGGTTTACTGAAAAATTAAACCTACGAAGAAACACTTCGGAAATTGAAACCTTATTATGAAAGAGAGGTTTCCAAGCGTCGATTAAATCAGGAAGTTGGTTAATTAACGAGCCGCTAATAGAAAGGGGGACTTAAAGGAGAATCTACAATGAACATATCTAAAAAATGCAAAAAAAACAGTTAACAAAGTTATTCAAACAGTGCCGTCAGAACTAAATTCATATTGGGGGGGCTGCCCATTGTATTGCTCCCAATTTAGTACACTGTTATAAAGGAAATGTACTACGGTTTGACAACTCCAGCCCAACCTCCTCCCCAGCCCCTAGCACCCAGCCCCTAGCTCCCAGCCCCCCGCTTCCAACAGCCCTGTCAAAAATCTAGAACCTGTTAAAGGCAATCTGTCACAACGTTGATTGATTATAAGAACAAAGGGATTTTTTATTGTTTCCAGTCCCCCATTAATTTATCGCATTGTAAAAAATATGGCGGAACGCTGGAATCGTGATTAGGCTATTGTTCCAGCTGTTGTTCTCGTTAACCAATCCACAACGAGACAGATTGCCTTTAAGTTGATAGTTCTTGCGGCTGGCATCGTCCGTTAACATAATGTAGCGGGGTCTGGGACACAGGCTTACATAATAGGACCAAAAAATACTGACACTTACCTCGCAGATTCGAGAGCTGACTCGTTAATGTCAGCATTTTGTTTAGTTGAGCGCCAGCTCCTGACGGTGTTTCTATAGCAATAGGACTAACAGAAAAAATGGTGGTAATTCAGTCAACGGTAAAAATGGTCAGAATAAAAGTCAACTTGTATTGTGTAAGATAAGATTTTGAACGCTGGGTACTTTTGCCCGAAACATCGATAGAAAAGGTTCAGACCAATAAAAATACAGAGGTGAGGATGCAAATGTGTCAGGGGAATTTATCTAGACAACGTTATTTACACTTCCGTGTCACATAAACAAAAATATGACTTCTTCTTGCTAATAATTTTGCAGAATTTTATAATATGATGCATAGTCGAGGGGCAAGTATAATTGAAAAAGCGAAATTGAAAAAAGCTACACTTACGAAGAGCTTTGAACCGTGTTGTATTTTGGTGGCAGGTCAAAAGCATCGGCAGCACCATTAATAACGACTTCAAATGGAGGCGGGGGGTCATTTCTCAACGAAAACGCACCAAAAGCGTTACTTGTGTTCACAAAAAAGATCCCTTCTTTAGTGGCATCTGAATATGAAGGTGGTACATCTGTGGAAAGATAATAAATGCTGAGCGATACAGTATCAATCTAGCACTTGCAATGTTGATTTCAAAGTTTTATTGCAGAAAAGAGTAGCATAAAAGATACTGTACATTTTCCTACTAAAGCAGTGTAGACAAAAACTAAAAGTTACCTCCAAGAACAGGGTCAGGCGCGTAACAAACATCAGGAATTTGGACTAAAGTAAAAAGAAGACGGTCAAAGAAAATTACAAAATGGGTTAAAGCTAAAAAATATAAAAATAAAAAATAAAGAAACTACAGGGTAATCAAACGAAAGTGTAGTGATCCTCGCATTGAATATTTCATAAATAGATCAAAAATTCCCTTCAGCGATGCTGATATTCAAGGGGCATTCAGGGACGCCGGAACGACCAAGGGGCAGGCTTGAGTAAAAGGGCATTTGAAAAAAATGATTCCAAGCTACCAACAATTTATTCGTAACTGTCATTTTGTTTCCATTTTCTGTAGGAATCTTGAAAATCGTCTAACTTTTGGCATAAGAAATTTCTTTACAAATTTTGAGACATGTCGACACGAATAAGGCAGTACAGTCAGAATTTCATGTGAATCTTTCGATAAATCAATGGAACTTCTAAGAAAAGGGCACTTGCCATACATATCAATTGGCAACAGGGGTGGATGACCCCCGACCCCCTCTTCGGCGTCTCTGGGGGCATTCAATAAAAAACTTTACAAAAACTAACATACTATAGAAAACTAAATATGATTTCATTTAAATTTAGTATATCAATACTACCAGAACTTTTTGTATGGTCTAAAAAAGTATCAAAAATTAATATCTACGTTTCAAACACTAGATGGAAAAAATGGTTTACAATTAAACACGATGAATCAAAGGATGCATGGGTAGGTTATCCGGGGACGCTGGGGAGGGTGGTGCGGGGGGGGGGCTAAAGTGCCCTTTTCATAGAAGTGCCCTTGACGCCGGCCTTTTGTAGGAAATCCATGAGATTCATATAAATTCCTGACTGTAGTGCTTTATTTATGATGACATTTCTCGAAACTTGTGAAGAGATTTCTTATGCCAAAATTTAGCCGATTTTAAGATACTGACAAAAGATCGAAACAAAACGACAGTTACGAAAGGATTGTTGGTAGCTGAGAATTTATTTTTTCAAATGCCCTTTTACTCAAGCCCACCCCTTGCCCCTTGGTCGTTCCGGCTTCCCTGAGGTTATCTCAATCAAAAGTTTCAAAGTACAATTTTCTTTAATCAACATTCTGATCAACAAATATATACGCAATTGAGGAACCGGGGTTTATAAAGGAAATATTATACAGTAGATTGTACACACTGGGACCAGATCTCAACTTCGGGGATTAAAGTTTCTTTATAAACATAAACAGGATTCTAATGCAGGATTCTACTGGATTTTTAGATAAACCCCTCATCAAGACATGCATAATAACAATTCTTCACAGCAGTACATTCATATTATAGTCAGGCAAGTTTAGCTCTTGAAATTAACAATTCTTCAAAATATTTTTGAAGAACTGAAAACGGATGTCGTAGGAAACACCCGCCTATTTACAGGTACAGATACTGCTGTCATGTGCTCTGAAACTATTTTTGGGTTTGTGAGTACTGCAGCACCTACCTGGCAAAGAATGATCTGCTCCACGATTAGAACGTTCAGCTCTCTGTCTCTTCCTTATCCTTATGTACTTGATTAAAATAAACGTAAGGACCAGAAAAGCCAAAATGCCAAGGGAAGAGGCGATAAGTTTTGCTGATAGGTTCCCAATAGACCCTTTTTTTGCTGGGGTCATTGCATGCGCTACAAATGAAAAAGCATATTGTGCACTGTTGACATCAAAAATACATTCTTAGAAGAATAATTTGATTTATTCGGCCAGTTTTATATAAATGAGGACTATTGCTTAATAGCAAGAAAGCTATGTGCTTCTCAAGATATTCACATAAATTCAATAATCACATAACAATATTTTCACGTATTCTGCAAGTTTATTACGAATGAGGAACGTTGCTAAACAGGAAGCTATAGCTGTCAAAAGAAATTCACAGTAATTAACCATTCAAACAGCTAATGTCAATGAATTTGCCAGTCTAATTTGTAGAGAAAAAGCTCTTCCATCCATTTAAAGGATTGCATTGCTACCACCAAAAAGAGTTCCCTTATCTACGAGTTTACGTGCCAGTGTGATTCGTAGGATGCACAACCCAAAGAGGATTGGGGGATAGAATAAAACAGCATGTCCGTTCTAGCAGTTTTGGAATATATCTGTATAAACATGAAAAAGCCACTATTGTGTAGACGGAAGCAGTTCGTTTTCACCTTAAGACTCCATTGGTAACATTCTCAAAAGGCAAACGGCACTGATTGGGCAAGCTCAACAGTTATGTGCTCGCGTTTCTGAATGGCCTATTTCGATCCACAACTGGGTATATATATTTTCTAGCGTAGAAATTGATCTATGTTCTAAGGTTTTATCCTCTGAAGAGTGTCAGACGAAAAGCATTAGAAACATTTTTCAAAATGTTTGCTTTCTCCAAAGCAATTTTCAATTTCTATACCACGAAAAAATTGTTAGAATAAAAAGATATAGATAAATCTGTCTAACGGAAGAGATCGAGTTTCAATTATCTATGCAAAAAAAGAAATAAACTAAAACAATTGATTCATAATAATAATAATGATGATTATGTTAATTATATAAAATAATAATGATGATTATGTTAATTATTTATAATACTGTTAACATGTTGGATTTTGAGGCAAATTTTAATATTATGTTGGACGCAAAAGGTAGCCAAAAAAGACGAGCTGTCCAGAATGAATAAGGGAATAAGGCTCCTTTAAACCATTAGACGACAAAAACAATACAAGAAAAAGATTAAAAGTTAAGAAAAAGTTAATATATTCAATGTGGCTCACCTGAAACAGGGGAGGTGCTTGGGACAATTGAGATCTTTTGTTCCGTTGTTACTCCTATGGCTATGAATAGAATAAAGGTGGATAAAGGGGAAAACATATAAATAATTTCAGAAAACGAACTCACAAGAAGTGACACAATGTCTAGTTGTCAAACTAGAAATACATTTGCAAGAACAACTACTTTCAATGGCACAAATGATACAGGCGTGGGAAAACCGGAGACATCGCACCAGCAGGATCTTATTCTGGTATTTTTTAAAAGGCAGTATAAGCTGTTATACCCTATTTTCTAAGAAAATCCTAATAACTTTGCTCAGTGACCTTTTCAGCAAAATTCGTCACGTCCCTGCTTCACGAACTGCGGAAAGAGGTGGGTGGAGGGGCTAATCCCTCTCCAATAATTCTCAAAAGCTACTTAAACCCATATAATGAATCATCTTGCCATTTTCTGTTTACATGTTGACACCCCTGCAAAAAAACTGTGAACACCCGTAGCTACCTATCAATATTATTGCCAATCTCTGCTCCAAAGCATCACTGATGATGTATCCACTTTGCAGTTAATCAATAAATCTATAAGCTCTCTCTTCCATTCACCTAACCGTTCTTCCATTTACTACCTTGCAAGGTATTGCTAACATTAATACGACTCACCTGGTGCAGTGGTTAACGTAACCTTAAGAATGAAACCACGTTCTACATAAGTACCATCTGTTTTAAACCGAAACGAAAGCCAGCTTCCCTTTGATACAAAGTGGAAGGGATCAAGGTAACCAGAAAAAAATCCTTTTCCAATAATTCCACTCAAAACTTCAACATAATCAGGACCACTTTCTGAAATTTAAAAAAAGAAAAAATGAAATACACAAGCAGAAAAGATCGAAATCTTGCACAATTATTTCGCTTTTAACCAACACCATTCCACTGGAAATTTCGGTGTTTGAGATAAAACGGACAATTTGTTATAAAACCTTTTGAATTTTTTACATGTTGTTCTCTCCTTAATTAGTCTCCAGCTACCGAGAGAGCTTCCTCCTTAAGGTGATTCCCTGTGCAAAATACTTTAGTAGTCTATTGGTAAACTTGGGAACTTGAACACAAAATATTATCTTATGTTTACTTATCTTATGTACGACAACTTAACAATAGCAAATGCTCTCATCAATTCCTAGAGATTTTAGCAGTGCATTTTTAACACCAAAATGTTTTGTTCTGAACCTCATGTATACGCAGGTATTTAATTTCTAATAACAAACTTGCTGTATAAAAAGACAATTAACATCTTAAAAGATTGAAAAGACCTTTCGAAAATATTTTCAAAGCCAAATCTTTCTGTTATTGCAATCATAATAGTTGATTTTAACATTTTGACTATCAGACATCAATAAAAGCACTTTCACATTTCTGGACATATTGAAGACAGCTTTTTAAGATGAAGTGGATATTCAGCTTAAAAACTCGAAAATGTTATTATTATTACATTCAGTTTAAAAATTCGAAAATGCTATTATTATTATTCCAAGATCATTTAAAAGGTGTTTTGTGTTGGCAAAATCGGAATCAGGCGGAAAATATCAACTAAACATATATTATTATTATTATATATTATATAATATATTATTATTTATGAACTTAAATAGCAATGAACTCGAATACAAAAACTAACTTTGAGTCTGTATACAGAAAACAAAGAGGCGACATCACGTCATTGGAGAAAACATAAAACGGATGATTACCTGTTAAGAAAAATGTGAAATTGAAACGCATCCGATATCCGTTAGACGCATGAAACTTGTAGACACAGTCTTCGTAACTGTAGTAGTTTTCGTAACCAATACGGTAGCTTGGAGCTATATCAAAACTAATTCGGAGGCGCGGTTCAATAGTAGCAAAATTCCTGAACAACTGAGAAGTTTGGTATTCATCACGACACTCTAGGAAAGAAATAGCACCGCTGCTTTTACTAAGCTTTCTGCGTAGGAAAAATGGCTAAATGGCTATAGGGCTGGTATGCAAGTGTTTGTGAAAGCAGGTTATAATCTAGGTTTGGACAATTATTTCGACGATCTTCTTCTATCCACTCAACTTTGTGCTTATTATGCTGTCAACCCAGGACATGCACTTTCAGAAGCATAGCCAGAGTGGTAAGATTGGGAGGGGGACAAAGGAGAGTTGAGCGAGGGAATAATGGGGATCAACATTGTTTGCTTTGATTATTGGATGTTGTCCATATTAAGCTATATTTTAATATCCTTAAAATATGGGTTATTTTCTTGGTTGAAAGGACAAAGAAAAAATCTTCAGAAATCATAGAACATTATATCAACACCGTGCACCAGTCTACAAGTGGGTGGGCTGAGATAGGCATCACCAAAACATTTTTTAGGCCAGGCCCTCTAGAACAATGGAAAACGCCCTTTTTGAAAATACCTTCTTCTTTCTACTTATTACTTAAAAGCAGTTTGATTCAGATTAGACGTCAATTAATATATAAATATACATAAATGGCTTGAGGACCAATAAACATCAAGCTAACCAAGTTAGAAAAATAGAAGATATCATTAAACAAGATGAAACACCAAGAAAATGAACAAAGAGGGTTCCCAGTCAAGAAGAACTGCTACTTCTTAGGTTGCGTTGGTAGAGTAAATTTTCTAAAACGTTTCTCACCTACTATTTAAAAAAGGGGGACCTATAGCCTCTGCTAGGCAAATGGTTGTGCGGTGACAGCGTGCAATGGAAGATAATAAGGAAAGAGTCCAGAAGGTGATAAAACAGAGGGTAACGGGATGCAGTTGCTGACGCAGGAAGGTTTAGAAAATATTGCGTTCAAGAGGTGTCTTCTGAGAGAGTAAATTAAGCATCCGTGTGTTAAATGCATGGTAGGGAAAATCTTTAGATAATAAAAAGGAGGGTATATGGAGAATAGCACAATTGACGAAAGCTAAACAATACGGAAAAGATTTCACAGCCAATGTATAAAGATTACAATGTGAACAACAAATAAAACAAAAATAATACTTAAGAATAGCTCTATGTTGCCCGAACCTGCAAAAAAAGGAAAGGAAAAGTGAGATTACAGCTATATCAGTTGGACTAGCTCTTAAACTGGACAATCAGAGAAGACTGAACTGTCCACAATGTTTTTTCCATATTTGTCCAACATATTCCTTAATGCTTATTTCAACCTTGAGCTGAATGTCTAATTTCCTCTATATCAGACACAATTTTAAGTAAGAAAGAGTTTTTTGAATCATTTAAATTTAAAATGTAATAAAATGTAATAAATAAATAAATAAGTTTAAAATGTAACTTGAACCTAATTTTAAATGTAACGAGTTTAAAATTGTCATTTTTATTTTATAATGATAAAATTTTTGTTGCATCGCTAGCATTTTTATCTATTTTAAAAAAACTTTGAACATCAAAGGTTAAATTATAATATGTTGGATAGACAGAATGATATTGATGACTACGGTAGATAATTTTTGGGATGAAATGATGCTATCGAATGTTGCGATCAGATGAACAAACTATTAAATGTATCTTTTGAGTACCATGCTGTGGTCAAATGCTCTGATAAAATGTTTTGATTGAATATTGTGATCGAATGCAGCGATTAAAGGTGGCTATCAAATGTTTAGATGAATGTGGCCACGTCTTCTGTAGGAAATATGAATTGTTTAATATATTTAAGAAATCAGGAATTTTGTAAGATTGCTCAAAACTCACATCCATTTCACAATACAAACCGTCACAACACACTTATGTAATTAAAATAACGTATATACATCTTTAGTACAGCAAACAATCTTATATTGATTTCACTTGAGTTTTTCAAGTTCTCAAACAATGAACTCCCTAGTACATAGTGATAGATTTCTCGAACAGTAATATAAATTTATATCTGTCCTAACCAGCTTTCAAAAGCATACATCTCAGCTTTGGAATCGACTATTAATGATGAGGTGATTAAAGCCGAAATGTAACTCTTACCACTTGGAAGTCCATATGGTATTGCAGGGAGCGCTGAAATATGATAAAGGTCATACATGAATAATATTATTCAAAATATTGAAATTATTCAAAATGATGACTTTTCTACCTTAGAAAAAACACTGTGTTTTGCTGTGATGGAGAACACAGAGTGGGCTTGCGTTAAGGAAACAAGAGTGGTGTAAGGGTTAAAGCTTCCTCTAGTTAACAAACTAAGGGCCCGCAGCCTTTAGGGGCCCCCAGTGGAAATGTTTTCTATGCTGTTTTGCTTTGAAGCTGGTATTCTGGCTGGATGTGATAAACGAGTTCAAGGGGTCCCTCGCCTGTATGATATATCAGTCTCTAAATGGATGGATAGTCTATTGACTACCATTTTATGTTTCATCTTTAACGTTTTACTAAATCTCAAAACTGGAGGGGGTGAACTGAAACATTTCTAGAGGCCCCTTGAACTCGTTAATAATTAGTTTTGAACATAATTTAAAGTATGTCAAGACAAAGCACTTTCTGACAAAAATAGTAAAAGCATGGTCTGGAAAGTTTTTTTTGAAGATACATGGATACTGATATATGTAGGAATGTCCTATTTCAAATCGTCCTCGTGCAATATTAGAAATACATGGTTTAGAAAATAATTCACAAAAGAAATATTTTGAAACCAATATACAAACTTTGTTCATCAGTTGAAGAGATGTTGAACACAAATCCTTGTGAATTGTTCATATGAGTTGCATTAAACCCAACTCTTAGGATATTGCTTGGTGAAACCAGGTAAAACGGGGCTCTCACCCCAGAGATTGTACTGCTGTGGTCGTGACGGATTAATACTTTATCGTTGTAAGCTACAAGTAAAAAAAGGAATATTTAAGTCAGTGATAAGAATTATAGAGAAATTATAGAGAGGCATTGTAAAGAAAACAAGTTTCATAGACATGCAATTATCAATACACTATAATTTTAAAGAAGATTCAATCAATCTACGATTTAAGAAAGATGCTTTTCTTTATTTCAAAAGCTAAATTTCTAGTTAGTCTGCATAGACCTGTTTACATCATTGTTTTCTGCTCATTGCTCATTCATTCCTTCAGGTTCTAACAGCATAGCACAGACGTCTTCTACGTCACTCGCAATATCACGAATCTGCTAATTTCCAATATTTGCGTTATCTTTGTCCAAATATTCATTTCACTCATCACATTAACTTACTTTTCTTATCATTTATTTTCACTTTAACTTACTTACTTCTCACACCAGTCTTTAGAAGCTTTAGTAGCCTTTAGATGCATAATTTTAGAAGCTCAAATTGTATATAATATGTTAATTTGTAATTAAATTCAGTTCAGATCAGTGGTTCAGATCCCCTTTTCTCTGCATGTGTAATAAGACAAAGGATGAAAAGGAAAGTCTGTGAAGGTTGACAGACAAAGGATGACAGGGACAGTCTAATGAATAACACAACAAACCTGTATAAAAATATTCTGCCGATAAATGGATTCGTAGCCTTGGATCGGCGGTGATAAGCCACTGGCAGCGGAGGTGGCTACCTAGCTTGGTGTTGTATTCGTAAAAAATGGATGCAGAGCGATTTTCTACCTTGTACATAACCTGGCCTGTATTGCAGACTGCAAAAAAGATGGATTGATTTGATGATATCGTAAACGGAAAAATGGAAAATCAGTAATTGCATGTTATTCAGTAATTGCCAATAAATGCATCCAAAAAGCCAATAATAACATATCAATAACTTGTTCCCAAAACAATGTTGCAATCACCTTTTTCAAAAAGCTACCATCAATTCCCCGCATCTAGCCAGTGGATTCCCTCTCAATTTATCGAGGAATGGGGCTAAATCCCGAGACACTTTCATATCTAGAAAATGTGATGTTCTTGACATAAAACCACCCAAAAATAAACTAATACATTGATACTGTCTTTGACATGCTGAAAGGTAATAAACAAACAGTCTTGATTTCACAAACCTTGATTTATAGTGAGTGCAGTGTAATCTGAAAACAAAATAAAGCTAAATTTCAAAATAGAAGTTGAGAGGTATTACTTCCAGGAGCTTTTTATTAGTAAAGGAATTCCCCAATAATGGCTACCTACAGGGACCGCGGAGCATATTCAGGAGGTTAAAACGTTTTAGGGAGGCTAAACATGGTAAAACCGAGAGCGGGGCATTTTTTAAAAGGGTTTTAATTACATTTTTAAAATTATTCCACATCAACTTGCCTGTGGAGCTTGAAAATTATTTTGCTAAAAGGTGAAGGCTTTTTTATCTATATAGATTGAAAAATAATAGGTAATTGTTTTCTTTTGCTTAATTACAACCACTTAGCTGTAGATGTCGGCTAGGGTGGGCAAACTCGAGCAAGAACCATACCTGAGGGGGGCAGGCTTTCAAACTAGAAAACAGATATACAACAAACAGATATATTTGGACTAAATTAAGCTCACGGCATTATAATTATGCCAGCTTTTCAAAATATCATTTGGAAAAAGCGTAGCTAGTGGGTGCAGATAATGATTAATTCATTTGTTGAAAAAATATTTTAGCGAAAGTGCTCTATCTAACAAAAGTGACATTTTTAAGTGCAAAAAGAGATATTTTCACACAGAAATTGAAACAAAAAGAGGTGTTGGAATGGCCCTTTATATGTCTTACACACATTTAAAGTAAACAAATATCAGCATTAATTTGTAAAAGTATGAATAGCTAAAGTACGAAAAAAGTTTAAGTTTACGGTAAACGTTTTTTGGACAAAAACATCTACTTTGCGTTTTCTTGACGTTCTAATAGCCGAACTTTCAATGCACAGAATGATACCATGTTTGAAACTAAGAGAAATTTTGAAATAGAAAAAATCCCATGTAAACGAAGATTTCCATAATTTCTTAATCAAATTTTTTAGTTGAGATGGCATGTGTTTTTCCTTAACAGCAAGCAAAAGCAAAGTCGGGCTCGAAAATGGAAAATCGGACCCGAAAACGGGTAAAATGTTTTGAACCGAATATTCTATCGTAAATCTCTTGACCTGTTAAGCCGATTATCGTTGCTTCGCGGTTGTGGTCGCAGGTCTCATTTACAATATCGCATGGCGCACCCATGTACGGCTGTGTTTAACTATTAATCTTTAAACTTCAAATGGCTTGACCCGTTACACTATGGTTTACGGTTTTACGGTGTACCTTGCTAGTGCTGTCATCAGTAAAGTCCCGTTTCCTCCGGAATCAAAATTCCTCTACATACAGGTGTCAAAAAAGCTATTTTGTGCCCAAGGAACCAATCGAATGAATCAAAAATTTTAACACGACCAGGACAGATTTTGGGTAATCAAAGTGTCTCAAAAGTTTTGTATTTGTTCTGATCCGTCTTTTATGGCCAAATACATCTACGGGAGGGTAGAAAAATTGTTTACCGATTGCAAATTTTGACCAGATAGAGTTTCAAGAGAAGAAGAAAAGTAAAAAATCTGAGAGACACTTTGGTAGCTTAGGATCTGTGCTTTCTGCTGATAAGTCAGATTCTGTTACCTCAAAATAGCTTTCGAATGTGGAACACTCATTCAAGCAATACTATGCCTGGAAAGTATCATTTAACAATATTCAATTATTGTGATAAGGTTGGAATCATCACATTCTTGTGCATCGAATGATGTTTAGTTTAATTCTATTCCATTAATAGTTTGGCTTTTAGGGAGATAAAACCAAATATCGTGTCTAAAACGTTTACCTTAACCTTAAACGAAGGATTTAACTAAAAGTCAGACATACTTGCTACGTTGTAGCAATCCTCTGTAAAAGAAACATCGTCTATGGCAATATGATTCCGTTGGTAATCTCCACAGGTGATTTTCAGCTTTATCTGAAAATTAATTGATTAGAACAAGATTAAAATGAAGACGGTTTCGCACATTCAGGCTTATTCAAAGAAACTTAGCAACCAAAAGGTCTTGGAGGCCCCAAGGCAATTTTGTAAATGAGGCAACAAGTTCAGATTTGCTGACAACAACTTTAAAAGCAATTTTGGGTTTTCTAGCTTGAGACACTAGCTCCTGGTTGATAGTCACATTTTTTGGGTCTTTCTTTGATAACAAGGTGGTCGTAATTTGGAAAAAACAGAAAAACAAAAATAGACGATGAATAGGAAGCATGCTTTCTAGTATTAACAGAACATCACACAATTCTTTAGGTGATAAATAAAGCATTCTGTATTCTACTTCATTAGGGAGGGAGCTCCTAACGTTGATTTTACTAAACTTTTCTGAAATTTTTCATTATCTAAAAAAATTGCTGCTCGAAAAAAAGTCAGGCATTTACGTTTTCCTGCCCCTACCCCCAATTTTCACAGGTGGGGTTGAACTACTATGTATGGGATAGGGATGGGTAAAAATCCTTTTTTGGTAAAATTTCAAATCCAACAGGAGTAGGCCTATACCAAAATTTCCGCACCCCTTGGTTTAAGGGTATGATACTTACCCTGTAGAACAGAGAAGAAGTATAGAAGTTGACATTGCCGTATTTCCACGAGGGTACTTGGTAACCTTTATTCGTCCATAAAATCTTCTCAATGCGGCTCATTGGATCATAGTACATGACCTCCAACTTCCCGTTTCCATATCTATTACTAATATAATAAAACCAGCGAAACTACGACAAAAGAAAAAGTTAAACGGGCTGATCGGCTCAATTAGCTTCTTCCAGTACATAAACTCATTTATGATGCACTTAAAATAGGGTTGCTTTGCACCGACGGTCAGTTGGCCAATGGTCTCCGCCCGCGCCCCCTTTGCATGAAGTCTCGATTTCGAGCTAACTTAACCAATGATCTATCACTCTCATTGGAAGAGGGACTAATGCACCCCTTACAGGCTATTCTTGTGTGTTAATGCATAGCCCATTGGGTGTTGCCCAGTAAATTCGGGATGCACCAGGAGATAAAAAGAAATTGTAAATAACCAAATTTGGCTCTAGCAAAAGCTCTCAATGCACAACAAATAATGAATAGAACAACATACCGTGCATTTTCCAGATAAAGGCTGTTGCATCAATCCACTGATAAGGTACCCACTATGACCTTTTCTTTTGCAACGTGCGTCCAAGTGTATCTGATAACCTGTGAAAAGGAAAAATGCATACCTTAGCTTCAAAATCATTTTGAGCTCCCTTAGAGCTACATATTCTTTCATGGGGGTGAAATGTAGTTAATATATAAAGATGCCCTGCTTGTACACTATACATTATTGAATACCATTAGCGATTTTCCTTTCTATTTGTCTCGCGTTAATGTTTGACAGTCACGTTTTTCATCGCATTTTGTGATGCCTCTGTTTTTCTTTCTAAATCAATTAAGTTCAAAAGTAATTAATTTCAGACCATTAGGAGTCATACGTTGTAGGGCCCGCGCCACGAATTTGAATGTGGGGGGGGGGGGCAAGGCTAAAGATGTAGGGGCCAAGGCTTCTTACCCCTTTTACTGCAGTTTTAAATCTACTTGCTTCGCAAAAAGTGGGGAGGGGGCCATGGCCACACCCATGGCCATCTCGGTGGCACGTGCCCTGCGTCGGCCAAATACGAAATATATTGAATCGAGAGTCTGGAACCAAGGAGTACTCAGAATATAAGATGCAATGGTAACCGGGGATGTAGTCGTATACTTTCAACAAGAGGGGCTCTATGCAGTGGCGGCTGAATACATGATTATTGGCCATCCACGGAGGACAAATAAAGTTGAAATCTCAAAACCACTGCACCTTAATGATTCAGAAATAAAGCGAGTTGCGAAGACCAAATCATTGGGGGTTATGGTGGACGAAGGGCTAAACTGGGATGACCAATTCAGCAAAGTGAAAGGAAAGATTAACGGCGGTCTGAAGTCGCTAAAAAACTGAAAAATCTTATTTCACAATCCCAGCTCGACCATGTGTACCGTGCACTTATCGAAAGACATCTGAGATACGCTAATGTTATTTGGGGAAGTCTTCCTAAATCAGAATTGAATACACTCCAACGTCTGCAGGACAGAGCACGCTCGATTATTGATAAGGCCAGACTAAAAGACAACTGGTCTCATAACTGGCTGACCATTGAGCAACTAACAAAGTTCGATCGATCAGTTATGACATACAAAATAATCAGCAGACAATGTCCCGAAAGCCTTTGGGATAAATATCACCATAGGACCCAGCACTCCAACTACAGAACAAGGAATTGCAGGGACCTACAAATCCCAAGAAATAACCTTGAATACGTCAAGAAAGGCTTTCACTATTCGGCTCTGAAAGCCTGGGACGATATTCCCATCAATATCAGAGTAAATTGAAAAGCAATTGAAAAGTTATTATACGAGCTGAACACAACATAGACACGACTCCGTGGAAGAGCAGCTGCTATAAGATAGATTACTGTACATTATTTAGCTTTAACTGTAGATAAATTATATTAATGTAACTTGGGTATTTATTTTCTTATTTGGTATTTAGTTGTAAGCTGAAGGGATTTTTGTGTATAAAGAATATAAAATGAAATTAATGAATGGCGCCAGCTATTATAGAGTAGGAGGGAAATGGGCGTGATAAAAGGGACCCTTTTGCCTCGTTTCAGTGCTTTGTACCAGGTTAACTTTCCTTAGGAAATTTGGTCTACTCCTACCCAGCGCTTATCAGTCTGCTCTTAGAAGAAATACAATATACTCTCGTTAAGTGGGACCCCGGATGAGTAGGACACCCGCTATGTAGTACAGATTTTCTCGGTCTCTTGAACTTGCTTACCCTTTTCAAGCATCCGGATAAGTAGGACGCCCGCTAAGTAGTACACTTTTGCTCGGTTCCTTGAGTGTCCCACTTAACGAGAGTATACTGTGTGTAGACCATGTTTTCTGAAAAGTGGGAGGAGATAATTACCCCCATGCCACCCCTTGACACTGCCTCTATGAAATTTCTAAGTTGTTCTTGTCATGAAATCATTGCAATTCGAACATGACGAGGGTTAATGTTTTTTTCGATCATCGGTTTAGCAGCCAGGTACATTGACTGTTTGAGCGGCAGCTGAGGTCAGAACATTGATACCATTTTCCGGGGAAAACTTCATTGCAGGTGAGGGGGCTAAGTGTTGATATTGCTCAGGAGTTTAGTGAAAGCCTTCGTGAAAGAGACAGATTTTGAGATATGACATTCTAAGAATGGCCAGAAATGCATCTAAAATATTTACAGCATCGATAAGGCAGAACTTTATTTTCAATAATAATGACCCATCTTTTCTCGTGTTAACAAAACAGAGGAGATTTGATCAGCGAACAAATAGTGCTACTGAAAATGTAATGCAAAAATGTTATTCAGAGAACTTTGAAAGTATACATAGTTTGCAGATATAGAAAATCAATCTTGAAATAAATACAGCTTTATCCAAAAAATAAGAACATATAGCGTTGGAAAAAATCGTATTATTCTTAAAAATTGTATTATTCTTAAAGGGTGTAGTGCACCAGATATTAAAGTAGACAAGACAGAGTCAAATAATAGCAACTAGTTGTTGATTCAGGCATTTCTAAATGCTACAGGGGGGTCCTGGGGGTCCAGACCCCTGCCCTTTGTCTCAAAGGAGTAAAAGTGCCCTTCTTTTGAAAAAATTGCTTGAATATTTACTTTAAAGAGAATCGTCATAAATGACACATCCTGGCGATGTAATGGACCTTTCAGAAATACAGATAAATGATTTGTCAGACTATCACGCAGTAATAGATTCTATGTTCAAGTTCCTACTCTACAGCGTGTTTTATGATGCTCTACGCACTAGTTTTGAAGAAGAATTGTTCTGGGACTCAAAAACCAAAATAAAGGCACAAGACTTTGAATGGGATAGGGCCTCTACGACCACTGGTAAAAAAGTCAGAAGAAAGAAACCAAGACTTTTTTCAGCCTGTTTCAATGGCCCATATAATTGAAAGATTCGTAAAGGACCTTCGCATGAAACAAGCGAATGTAGAAAAATATTCGCGGATTGGTATTAGCAAGCAGCGAAGATACCACAATAAGTTAATGTTCAGATGTTTCATTCCTCAGCTGAAGTTGATGTTTACCTGTATTACAACTCAGCTGAAGTCAAGACTTGCAGGCAGAAACCAGCTGAACTCAAGGCTCGTGGACCTGTAAAATCTCCTCCCATCTGTAATGCGAAGCACAAAATTCAATGTTCTTAAGGCCGTTCATATTTTAAAGAGCAAATTGTTTTCGGATATGGAGAATAAAGGACTGATCTTTAAAAATGAGCTGCCGCCGAGAGGGGGCAAGGGGGCAAATTGCTCTAGGGCCTCGAGGGCTAGGGGGCCTCATAAAGCAATTAGTTCTGTTTTAACATGGAATTAATTAAAAGTAAAAAAATACACTTAAAAAGTAAGATCAACATGCATGTAAAGAAAAACCCCTTAAGATATCTAGACATGGGTTGGAGTGGGCAGGGTCGCAAAGGAAAAACCTTTCCTCTCCAAGGTCCAACTTCGAGTTGTCGTGCAACGTGTGAGAATAAAACTGTGCTAAGACAAAGTTTATATACCCAAAGCCAATGCACACTTGCACACTTATTCCTTTGACCGTATAAAAGACACAATGTAAAGCTTACTCGAGCACTGCTACAATAAACACAAACTCCACAATTGTGCAATCTGTGCCCAAAAAAGCCCGAGGGGGCACCTAAAGGCGTACCCTGTCACATATTAAACGTGATTAAATTTCATTAAATCAAGCTTATAAAACTGCAACTAAACGTACTCAGTAAGAAATTATTCAAGAATTTTCTATCTATATATTTCAAACTATGTGTAAATTTTCATGCATATAATGCTTGCAATGCCTTTTAATCTATCAGTTGTTTCTCTTTTCCTTTTCTGGTTTAGTCGTCAATAGCTGACCTGTGATGAAGCAACAATTTTTCACAGCTTTCTTTGCATTATATAATTATTGGGTGTATCCAAGCAAAAATGATGAGAGGGCTGAGCCTCGCCCCCCTGAGCCCCCCACCACTACATCCTTGATGGTACCCCACATGTAAGAAGCTTCGTTATTTTTATCGAGTCCAACTGGTTTCTTATTTAACGTCTGTCCAATATTAAAAATAGGTCCTTCCTTTGTGATTGCCTTTTAAAATGCCTAAATATCTAATCACTTCCACATAAAGACACATTTCAGATCACATTCACTTCCTCTCTTATTTACTGCATCAGTTGCACCAAATGCAACCTTCACTACACTGGGGAGACGTCCTGTCAGTTAAATACCTGTTTTAATGAGCATTTCCATAATGTAGAGAAGAAAATACATAGTCTCCAATCACTCTAACAAAGATGGCCATACACCAGCCAACATGAAAATCACAGGACTTTGCTACGCAAAACCTTCGAAAAACGTTTTATTCTTAACGTTTCATTTAGGAATACTAACCATTAGGAATAAGAAAACATTATTCTTATTCCTAATGATCTTAATAAACAATTTTCGTTTCTTTCGTCTCTTTCCTCTTATATTAATTTTTACCTTCTCTACTCTATACGCTTTCTATCCCCTAACACATCTCGCCTTACGTTTCATGTCGTATTCCTACTACGTTCCATTAAGACCATCTTTCGATTCAACTCTTTTATTCTCTTCTTAACCGTTTCTCCCACTATTATTTCACCTGATGAAAAAATATGCCCGCAACGTCGTACTAAATATTCATTTCTTGTACAAAGTTGTTATTATATTGTATCATTTTTTTTTTAATTTTTCGACGTACAACAAGCACAACTCCATCGATTATCCTTCAAATGTACATATCAACAGCATAGTTGCAATGTAAAATACAGCTATTAAAAGGTATAGATAAGGAATTTTGCAAATCCATCTAGCAACCTGCCTAACCTAAGTTTTTCAAGTTTAAATCATAAAAGTAAAAGCCACAAGCCCGTAGCCAGGTCAGTGGAGTAGGGGTGGCAGACTCCCAATGTTCAATGCAGGCAAGGTTTAAAGTGAAGTGTTTGTAAGGTGAGGGTGGGGATGGTTAGTGGAAAGAAACAAGCAAAAATGGCTGTAACATTCTTTCAGAAATTAAACAACTTAACTTCCATTAAACTAAATAACTTTCAAATATTTTGTCTCCATTCAAGATCTTACTCGCAAATGTCAGGGATGCAGGATTGCATTCCCTCTCTGTCTTCATGGAATGTCGCCGAGGGGAATCTACCCTTAATAATGCACGTGTTGACTCCGCCTCAATCAGGTGCAACTATTTTTAAATACATTTACCGAGAAAACTCTGCAAACAAGCATTGGTCTTGTCTCATTGCTTTAACTACAGACGGTGCTGTGACACGATTTTCACTGGACGATTGAAGCTGCTTCACAATTATGTTTATTAGCTTTAGAATGTCCATCAGCATGCACTTTGCAAAAATGAACATCCCACTCCGATGCAGTAATATTTTAGCCAAGCGACGGTCATCGCTTCTTAAACTTGATTTTAAGAAAATTTTCAAATTTTTTCCGAGAAGTTTTTGTTTAGCATCAGAAAAATGTCTCAATTTGTTAAGCACCAAGCACTATCGTAAGTCCTACATTGGAAATAAGAGATTCCGATATAAAAAAATTTCTTCTGTCAGTGTTGGCTTGACTCAAATTGTCATAGCAATCCAATAAAAACGACGAAAAAACCCATTGAAAAATTTAAAGACAAATTTCTCGGGGTGGCAAACAGCTGGCATTCTTATGTTCCAGGGGTGGCATTGCCATCCCATGCCACCCCTTGGCTACGGGCCTAAAAAGCCAATGATCATTTTAAGCCTTTCTGGCACATTCTGGAAAATGACCGGAAGTTGCGGTTCCGGACCCATGAAAATGCACGGTCAGCAAAATTTCAAATTTTTTAAATCTGATGATGCCAGCAGAAAGTGCTTCCAAAACTGAGCAAAATGTAAAGAAAGAACAATGTGATCTGACCTACTGTATAAGCAAAAAGTTATGGCTGTTGAAACTTTTCGTTTTATCAAACAACTTGCTTTCTGTAGCCTGAGTTCCAAACCCCAAACTAAAAGTATCGGAGTCTGGGGCTCAGGCTAGCATTCTGAAGTTTCATTATAGTACAGACCAGGGCTTATTTTTAAGAAATTTTTAATATTGCACATTTATAGTTATATTTTTCATAAACAAATTTGTTGTTGCAATATTTGGATATTAAAAGAGAGTCTTTCCAGGAAAATTCACATTTTGTGAACAAAGCAGGATTCTGGGATAGCCGCAAATAGACATGTTCACAAATCCCAAAATTCAATACTGCACATTTTCGAAATCAAAACTGCACGTTTTTAAATTAATACTGCACAAAGTGTGTAAAAAGGCCCTGGTACAAACGCAGACTGTAAAATTGCGCATGTTAAAATAATAGCGCAAAGTTTGGTACAAGTACACAATCCGATATGCTGAGTAGGATGAATACAAATCAAGCTTCAAAAATTCCCCCAAAAGTTTTTTTAGACTGGGGGACTGGTACCCAGTCCTCTTTTAGGCATATCACTACAATGTTTTAACTTTGCAAGCTATAAAACTGAAACATTTTTTTCTGGCGTTATTTGACGCGCTGAATAAAATAAGATGCGAAAACAGCTTTAGAAATTCCACAAAAGCAATTTTAAGACCACTGTACTTGTACCCAAGCATTTGAAAAAGTAAACAGAACTAGAGTAAACGTACATAACTACGAGTCTTTTTTTAGATCAGTAAGTATGATAAGAATAAACTTGACGAAAGGGGTTTTGAAAGTATTTTTTCAATAAAGAAAAGTTTCAATCGTTTTTGGTTTTTGGTCATGCGCAGTGAACGCTAGCTTTGCCACTGATTAAAAACATGTCTATATGGTATATCTTGAAGACTTCTAACAACCGTATCAATTAGTCCTTACTCGGTCGCAATTTTAATTTGATATTATATTGCGCAATAACAACATTCTGAAAATTTGGCGGACTTACTGACAAATTTGTTGGTGTGATCTTTTGACGGAACGGTTTTAATTCTAGGTGAATAGCCTTTGCGGCGGCGCAATATTTTAGTTGCATTCTCTTCGATACGCCAGTTGCACAAGGAGTTCTCAAATGTGCATGTTTCCGGGTGATTTTCTAATGAAAAAAACGGCATAAATAAGGAAAAAGCCCTTGATCTCTTTTCAAAAACTTGAAAAAACTAAAACTTGAAGCAGGTCTAGAAGCTATTGTCACGCAAAATAGGTCCTAAAAATATTTCCTTTTCTTCTTAAAAACACCCCTGCAGCCCTTTGCCTTAAATGCCCTAACTTCGCAATCAATTGACTTATCTACATAAAACATAGCTCCTAGCATTGACACCCAATACAGAGTAATTTCTTCTAAATCTCTCCACATACTACATTTTTCCCTTCAAATTCCCCACTTCTACACAACGCCCCCCCCCGTTGATCTCTATTGCCTATACCTCACTCCAAAGTTTACTCCCTCTCACTCTCTCTGCGTTTTTCCATTCAAAAAATTTTGCAATTAACAGAGAGCGATGAAAAACTTGAGTGTAATAAAAACTTGATTTTGCTCTAAGCAGTAATTTCAACTAAAACTTCTGATGTTAGCTAACTTGAGGTTCTATTCATTCATCTTAAAACCCTTGTCCTATATTGGAAATTTAAATGAGGCGAGGCGTACCATGTGACAATAAACATTCTAAAGACGGAAAGCATACTCACTGCAATTCAACTCATCACTGCCGTCAAAGCAATCCGCATTGAGGTTGCAGACTAGCGAAGAAGATATATCCTCGCCACTATGACAGGCGAAAATATCGGATCGACTGCTTGGGACTGCAAAAAAGAAAAAGATTGTCTAATGAGAAAAATACTTAGAGTATGTAATAGGGATATTAAATGGCCTATGTCGTGAACATGATTGGTTAACGCAGTACAATTCTCTTTTGTTTAGTAAAAAGCATGGAATCGAGGGTGAATATGGAATTCCACTCTAAACGTCATTCATATCTCTTATTTCATTTGTCCTTTGTTCTTACAGCTGTGAAATTTCTGTAAAGTTTCCCTTAAATAAAGAGGTTGCATTGTATAAAAATTTTAACATGGAAAAGTAGTATGAAATCCGAAAAATTTACATAGGCCTGACTGATGTACACAATGACTATTAGCCTGCACATTTTAGTAATTCAACAATACATTATTACATGGTAATAAATGTCATTTTGCTTTATCGATTGAATTCAGAAGAATTTTTCACATTTCCGACCCCCACTTACTAGGTCCCACCCCCGCTTATTTTTTTTTGAAAAATTTCTGACCCCCCATCCCCCCCTTTCAAGACCCTCTCTTCTATTAAGGGTCTTAGAATAACTTTGGACAGATAGAACATAATTCTTTTATGTTATGTGTTAAAAATTACAAAATTCTAAAAACAATTTTTTGTGACGTCACACTAAAGAACGCCATTGAATAACATTCTTGAGAACAATGGTTTCTGGAAACTAACCATGAGTGTGATTTCGAAAGAGACAGTCAGGTGAGAGTGACATATTGGTCAGTTTGAAGATCCCTTTGTGGTACGTGTCTAAGACATCAATCCGGATCTAAATGAAGAAAAAAGATACATTGAACGCTGACCTTAGCAGGGAAAAAAAGTAAATGAGATTAAAAAAACACAAAATTCTGATTCCCTTCAAGTTACATGACTTGTAATGCACTTCATTAGACAATTCGAGCAATCCAATGCTCACAAATGTTACAATCCTTTCCAAAATATAGCGTGGACGCCTTAACATGACAGCATGCCAAAAAGATGAAGCAAACCTGAAGCATCTTTTCAAAATATCACTGTTAGTTTCCAATGTTTGACCAAACCTTCCCCCCTGTACATTGTTGTTTCCATTTCTCGATACCGTCGTGCACGTGCAGCTTACATTATTACAAAATGTTTACCTCAGGCTGTCGGGGCGTAAACTAAGCCTAATTTTGACGGGGACGTGCCATTTTGGTTAAAAATTTGGAACCATAATTCCGCCAATGTCTGAAAAAAGGTACCCCTAAATAATGGCACGTCCCTGCACCTTCAAACGTGTTAAGGTACCCCCCCCCCCCCTCCGAGCTCTGGCCACATAACGTCGAAATTTAGCAATATTATAGAGGGGGAAGTGGGTAATTAAAAAATATGCTCTAGCTTTGCACAATGGTCGAAGAAAGTACGCACCTTAAAATTGCCGCGTGTGGGTAGGATAAGGTTCTCTCTTAACCAGCCTTGCCAGTTCGGGGCTCTGATCCAATCGATTTCCCTTTCGGTTTTGCTTGTGAGCGAGAAAACTTGCAAAGATCCTCTCCAGTCTTTGTTAAATTGATACGAAAAGCGCAACACACAAGTGACGTTGGGGGAGCCTTCCGGAGAAAAAATAGGTTAGATTTGCGGAATGGCTAAGGCTACAATGCAACAAGGAAGCAAAATCCTCCTTAAGACATCTATAAGCACTCTCAAAAATGCAAAATGTGAGTGTGCGTATAATGTCAAAAACGTGACATAACAGAAACTGCTGCAATGGTTCAGGGAACTGTTCAGGGAATTTTTATAATCGAATCTACTGTATGGCTCTTTATCAGCAGGCGAACGCCTGTTTGAGGGTAAAGTTAAAGCATCATTACAAATCGGCTAGTAATCCTGAAGGAACATACAATCTTTTTTATAAGAAACTGGCTATAAGAAACGAGTATTGGACAGTCAGAAAACATTAAGAAGTTTCAGTACTCGAAGCAAAAAAACTAAGAAACTAATAAATCGTCAAAAAAAAACCGAGAACAGCAAAATTTTGTAAAATCCAAGAACACCATTTCCCTGTTGGCCTTGAACACAAGACAAAAGGGATAAAAATATACTTCCCACATCTAAATACAGCATCGGAACGGAAGCGAATCTCTTGACGTGATAAAAAAGGTCACGAACATTTCATAACATCATTCATGACATCATAATTTAGAAACTCTTTAGAATGAATGAGTATTGAAATTTCCAGAAGATTAAGAAACTGGAGTACTCAACATCGAACTTCGTTTCTTATAAAAAAGAAATGAATGTAAAGCAATTTTCAATAACATTGACTCCTTTATCTCCGGTTTATACTACCTCGCATATAATCCTGGTCTGATGCCAAATCACTACGACTTCCTACTCGGTCACTATGATACGAAGAGTACTTGCCACGAGCTTTACATCAGACCATTCGAGTTCGACCAAGCACTTCACATAAATACTTATAACCTACAGATGCTATATAATTATTTGTATGCTTCTCGTTGACAGAAGAAGAAACTAGTCAAATACCTTCAATGGTATCTTTTAACAGCAATTTTCCCTGATCGTATTCAGAAGAATTTGAATCGGCTTTCAAATAGCAGTGATTGCCTTCTGAAAGAAAACACTGAATTTTACTCCATCTAACACTCGGATAAAATTTTGAACAATTTTGACAAAATTTTGCAAAGCCTTTTCGTCAAACCATCAACCATTGTATCGTTGTAAGGAAAGAAAGATAGGAAAGTGCTAAGACAGAAAGCTTGATTTTTGTAATGTCAAAGGAGCATAGAAAGGAAATGACATTTTAAAAATGCATGGTGTTGCGCACCGTCTTTCCCCTGTTAATTCTAGATTTATGTTATTGCACCCCTTGGTATACGCACCCCTTGTATTCGTGCGCTGCCATCTTAAAGTCGTTTGCTTAGATGGTATCCAATTGCAGAAATCGTTTTGAAAATCACATCTTTTGTATTCTATGCAGTCCTCTTCATCTTCACCCCCGGGACAATCCTTATGAAAGTCACATCTCTGATTGTGATCGTAACACATTGGGCTTCCAGCGCCACTGGTACAAGTGTTGTGGGTCAAACGGGGGCATGTCATTCTTTGCTCTGCAGAAGGAAACGCTTTCAACACAAGCTTTAATCAGAATGAAAGGCTTTCAACGAATGGACCGTCCTCAATTATACCATAAATGTCACAAGCCTTCAAAAATTGAAAGGAATGACTAGGTGCTAATATAGAAGACAAGGTACATCATTTTATTAGCGTACGGTACACAAAAAGTGCAAGATAACTTTGACTAGCATTGCAAGCAACTAGCATTGTAAGCAAAACCTTCTAATGGCAACGCTGGGTATACCTGATTTGCATCTCCAGAACGTAGCATTAATGCAGCCAGTTGAATTGTGGCAGCTGCTTGAATTAGAGAGCGTGTTGTTGCTCAAAAGGCAAATCTCCTGGCCTGACTTAAAACCTCTTTCTACCAAGGTGCTATCCGCTAAACCGTTGCATCCAAGATGTCTGCAAGCTGCTAGTGCTGAAAGAGGTAGGACATGGTAAGCAGAGAGAACTGAAGATCCCATAACACGTAGAAGATTCAAAGTAAAACAGTTTTTAATGGGATTTGCAATGAATTCAATTTACCGATTTAAGTCAAAATTCAGTAGACAATACATCTGTAGCATATGACTGTGAAGTTAATCGTAAAATTTGCGATCTCTTTGAAAATGATTTTGCATATTTTCCTTATTACCTCGATAATTCAAAGCTCTTGATACATATGCCAATAAAAGATACGTGAGGTGTATCGTTGGTTTACGGTCTTATGATGTCCAAGGATGCAGTGCTTGGAAGCTTCACTTGTTAATACAAAGAAGAAGCAAAGTAAGTCATCTTCCCTTTCTTCCACAGCAACGATACGTGAGGTGTATCGTTGGTTCACGGTCTTATGATGTCCAAGGATGCAGTGCTTGGAAGCTTCACTTGTTAATACAAAGAAGAAGCAAAGTAAATCATCTTCCCTTTCTTTCACAGCAACTCATCTCACCTCCTAGTCCAATCGCTTAAGGTGAATATCGTGACAGACTGGAACAAAGCACCAAACTTTTCATAGTGATACCTAGGGGCATGGGAAACATTTCGAGGAGGGGTACCTGTTTCTTTCGACACCCAAGATATGCTAAGTCTCCCAGAACAAGACTGTCCGTAAAATTAACATACCCTTGTCTTTATCGCAAACCATTGACCAGCTGTTGCCTGTCCTCTCGTAAAACACACCCTCTGGAAAATTGTACTTGGGTAATGACTGAGGCTTGACAATTTTAATTGGCGTTAGCTCTGAAAGAAAAATAAATCCAAACCTTTCATTTCTAGCACTTTAGTTTAAGGTACAGGCATTGTTCGACGTTCAAGTTTCTGGACTACATTTTGAGGTAAAGATATTCCTCCTACTTCTTCCAAAGTTGATACGCTTTCTTACGGGAGCAATCGCAGATGTCAACAGTCCGGGAACATCGGCGATTCCTTCGTTTTGGCCTTTTCATGAGGTGTGAAGCTTTTGGAAAAAGGAACGACAAATTATTTTTGGCGGGGATCAAGGGCGATTGCCACCGCTGTCTTGAAAAAGATGAGGCCAAAGCGCTTTCAACACTATTTTAAGAGCTAAGGGAAAGAATAATTGAATGATATTTTAAAGTGTTTTTGGGAAATATTAGGGCCCAGCTTTTGCACTCCGTGCACTAAAAGAGAATTCACAACACAAGAAAAGGACTCTATAATAGTGCTGAAACGGTATGTAGCTTTATTCCACGGTAGGCAAATGCAGGAGAGGTGCCAAGAAATTCAAAGTGGTTGGGGGGGGGGGGGGGCTCGAGCTGAGAGCTTTATTAGACAAAAAACAACTTTTGAAAAACGCAGTAAAATGCCTAACAATATTTAATGTGCCTAAGATTTTATTGGGGCAATCGCTATGCTAGCGGTACATTCTATATTGGAACGGCCGGTGAGAGGATGTCGGAGGCCCTAGGTATTTTTTATTGAAAAGGCTTCATCTCTGATAGAGCAGAAAACTTTTCAACCAAGTCCTTTAGATTAACTTAAAATACATTTTAGAATATATTTCTAGCAGCCATTTTCTTGCAATCGTTTTAAAAATTTTGCAATTTTTAAGGCATTTTTTAGAACGTTTGATTAATTCCAGTCTTAAAATTGAAATCATTATTTTATCAGGCCCCATGGATTTTACCCTACATGGATCTCTGCTTATTCCTAGGAATTTAAGCAATAAAGGGAATTTGTTGAAGGAAAATAAAAGAAAAATAACAAAAATAGAAAAATGTCACGATAAGTCAGAACTGGAAGTCTTTCGAGGGCTTTACGTTCCATATGATGGATAAGACACAAGTATTGAGTCATGGCACAAAGTCCTTCTCTATAGGGGATAATATGGTTTCGACGCGATCGCTATAGTTTCATGTGATATCGGCATCCCTTTTTAACAATTTGCTGTTTTGTAACAATCAGCATAAATCAGTACGAGGTGAGTTCATGTGATCAGTGCTAAGCCCACCAATAGCATTGCAGCACGAAAATCATGACTCGACTTATTTGGGTATACCCGCTTCTATTATTATGACTCATTGCCTTTAAGTTATCGAATGACACTTATGCCAGAAGCCTTCCGTAGCACGTGGGACAGCTTAGCATGGGCTTTGAAACTGCACAAGTGCATCAGCATTCCTTTGTGTCTCTGTTTTTAATATCAAACCATAATCTTGCATTTACTTTCGTTAACGATTTGCAAAAATCCACCTATACCAGCATATCATTCAATAATGAAAAATAAATCCTTAAAAAGGTTATCTTTACCTTGTGTAAAACAGCCTTCGGTGAACATTACGTCATCTAGAGCTAATTTGCCAGAAAAAGCCAAATGCGAATATACCATAATCTCCACCTGCAATTTATAACTTTATTAACTAAAATCCTCCATGAACACACGTACCAGCAAAATCACGGAATATTTCGGCAAAATAAATCGATTTACGTCTTGACAGTCAATGTTTAGTCGGCATACCGTTAATCCTCGAACTGCCCCCCCCCCCGAATAGGCCCCCATCCAAATTATAAAAAATGAATTAGCTAATTCGAGGATTTACGGTATGTAAATAGTAACATCTGCCATCAAAACATCCCCATTTAAAATTGAAGGAATATAACTAGAACTGACTTAAAGACTTGCAAGTTACATATCTACATTTCCTTCATTTCTGTCTTAAGGGTACGCTATGGTTTATGGGTAAGAGAATCCTATTCTCCTATCTAATTCTCTCGTGACATCCTTCAATTTTTCCTATCTAATTCAGTCCATGAGTTGCCTAACTCAATAACAAATAGTTCGAATCGATCCACATAAAATAAATTGAAGATACTCTTACCTGAAAATCAACATCGCTGTTTAGCGTCACTTGGCCTTTTCTCCAAGAACTGACTCGATTCGCAACATAGAACAAACGCACACGTGAAATACCATCCAATTTCTTTATAACTTTTTCTACTTTCAGGAAAAGGAAGTTAGAGTAAATATTCCCTATCCCCATGAAGTAGAAAACCATCTGAAAAAGAAGAGCCAAAATCTTATATAAACATGGTCTGATATAGACCTAACATAACCAGTAAGTGTAGTCACTTTCTCAAATAACTGAAAAAAAAGGTACAATCTCGGCAGTCATAAAATGATGGTCAATGGCTATGGCAATGGCAACGGAAATTTTCTTTTGGTGTCCCATAGATCTTTACATTGTCTGTAACAATATCATTTTAAAACGTACCTTACAAGAACCATTTACTGGTCTGAGTAATGGTGAGACTAGCTTTCCAGCGTCACCTCGCATCCACTGACCTAATAGTATGTATGTAAATGAGCCTATGACAAAAGGTTGTTGGAGTGAGTTTCAATCAGTGCAGCAGAAGATACTAGCCATCTATAATGAATTTGCTTGCTTTTCTGAGACATAGATAAATTATTAATACACATAAGAAGTAGCAGGACCTTAGCAAATGGCAGATTATCTTAAAGCACAGTTTTATTGCATAAAATATACAGGAAAATCTAAGATATTACACGATACTTTATAAAAATTACGAGGGTCATTATCCCCTAACCCCTTAGCAGTTCTGAGGAAGGTGGGTCAGGGGGGTCACTGACTCAGGGGGCCTTAGCTATAGAGGCCCGTAAATAATACCTCAATTAAAGAAATTTAAAAGTAATAATTCAACATCTCCATCACCACAATCCACAAACTCTCAATAATAGAAACAATAATTTCAAAAGTATATAAATACCTATATAAATGAGGTTAGGTAGAAGCAATTTCAGTCTTTGACTGCTTGAGTGTTAAAGGTCATCGATATTTTTTTAAGATTTTTTCATCTTTTTTATTGGCTTGGGCTAAAGAAGTCGAAAAGCTTCTGAATGTTTGTTACCAAAAAATGTGATTGCGACAAGGCAACAAACAGCAATATGTACGCCATACAAATTTACACTATGGCCCGCGGATCTCTTTGCAAAAGTGTGTCGTATTTGATTGAATCTAGTAAGCGAATTAAACGTATTTGATTGAATCTAGTTAGCGAATTAAACGTTTTTAATTTTCTGAGAATTTCTAAGAAATTTCTAAGAAAATTAAGATATCAGTAATGCTCAAATTATATAAAATAAATAAACAGAAGAAAAAGCATCCAGAGCAGATTAGCCACCGAAACAATTTTTGCAACTATCCCCACCCGAAATTCCCGGACAGCATTACTCGTACTCCCTAGAAGCTTACTCTACTATTTATCTTTCGTTCTGACCTTGGGCCCATAAATTCTTTCGGCGGCCCTGTCCCTAAGCCCCAATAGACGCTAGGGCTCTTTCCTCAACAAAGGGATTCAGCCATAGCTCATTTGGGCACTCAGTTCCAATCCATACCTCATTTCAACAGCACTGGATACGTGAATATGGTATTTTGCAATAACTGGAATGTGATTATACAATAAATAACAAGTATAATAGAGATAACTTGCAAATAAAGCAATCTTACCATTGACGCTGTCTTTTGTATGATCTTTGATTTTGTTTGGACTATCAGCGCTGTGTTCCCAACCAAAACCATTGACATCAACTTTGTACCAATCGCAAAAACCATCTTCAAAATCGCACGACCATTTTGGCACATACGGGCCTAAAGAAGATTAATTGAATAAAAACTAAAGAGTATTAAACTTAGCATAGGTCTTGAAATGATAATTTTATAACATATTGTTTCATGTTTTTCAGATATTTCAGATTTGAAAAGGTGCACATATATTTGGTAATACCCAAGGACCGAGGTTCTTGGGGGTGGGGGCACCGAAGGGGCCTTGGCCCCCAAAAACTCAAATAGCATGAGTAAAATACTTTTATTTCGTAAAAAATTGCTGTTGTTACACTTATTTATGAGAGTTGCCCCCCCCCACCTTCCAAAAAACAAAAAGCTGGATCTCGGTCTTTTGGTATTTGATTTGATTTGATTTGATTTAGCTTGCAATTATCTTGTACATATGTACAAATTTGCAATGGCTATTCCTTTGAACTTTTGTGCTTTTCTATGAAAGACCAATATACTTTTGCTGAGCAGATACGCAGGGACGGATTTAGTGGCAAGGTGTGGGGCATATGACCAGACTACACGAAACTGTATTCAAATAAATATGATACAATTAACAATATCATACCCAGAGGTGTGGTGGGCACTCAGTCTCTAATGTAAATCCAAAAAGAAGCCGATTGTTATTATCATGGAACCATACCCCTTTATAATATGTGTTTGCACAAAAACACTGATAACGACCCTATGAAATAAAACGGTGCGGTATTTTGTGTACACCACTTAATGGTTCCGATATGGATCAGCAAAGAGGCTACTTCTTGTTGTATAATGTAGAAACTGTCCATTAAAAGTCGCCTTGTCGTGGCTTACAAAGCAATGGGTCTCGATGGAACCAATTATGATTAGATATACTCATTTTTTTGTAAGAAACTGGATATAAGAAACGAGTACTGGACAGTCATAAAAAATTAAGAAACTTCAGTACTCGAAGCAAAAAAATAAAGAAACTATTAAATCTTGATATAAGTGGGAACAAAAAAATTTTGTAAAATCCAAGGACATGATTGATGTGGTAAAAAAAGTCACGAACATTTCATAACATCATTCATGACATCATAATTAAAACTCTTAAGAAACAACCAGTATTGAAATTTCCAGAACATTAAGAAACTGGAGTACTCAACATCGACCTTTGTTTCTTCTAAAAAAATGAGTATACTTAATCTTCATGTGACGACGAGGGCTTATAAAAAGAAGAATCAGATATTTGGAAAGTCTAAACATATTTTGATCGTTTATATAACCAAATTCTATTATTTCATCTTGATGTAAAATTAATAAAGTATAAAAACAGCTTTTATTTTGTAGGTATTTTGAACATAGCTTCGGTAGAGCGTAGACGTGAATGAAACTCCATATCGTTGATTTTATCTTTAAATATATACAAAACGTGACTATAAACAACTATAACGTAAACGTAACTTGTTAGCCCATCATGAATTTGTAGCGTGACTTTATCGTAACTTCACTACTTCAAACAACTTAACCTTACAATATAGGGCGTGAATATATAACGTAAGAAGACTGGGACGAGTAGGAATCCCCCACGACGCGTGGGTTGCGAAATATATTGACTTCACAACAGTAGGCTGATGCTTCTTGCTTTCCCAATGGAATTTCGTATTTAATATTCTTCCCATGGATGCACTCAATGCAGTTTTACTTAGCAGTATGAGACAGAAGGCCTTGAGTTTCTTAGGAGCTCAATTTTTGGAGCATCTTCATTTTGTTTCCAGCCCAGGATAAGTGGGAGGGACAAAAGGGGGTCAGGGACCACGCCATTTTCCCGCGAGAAGCATTTTATTCCTAAGGAAACACCCATTGTCTCCCAGGAACTGTCATTTAATTTGTTGTTCAGAGTCTCGAACTTAGAAATTTTACGTGTGCAAAAGTCATGAGAAGATCTATAATCAAGTGCTGCTGGTAAAACCTTCAAAGCCCCCTCGAAACCCCCCCCCCCTGGAATAAGCCCCCACCCTAGAAATACAAATTGACAATAACCCCCTTCTCGAATTAGCCCCAACTGCAACCGTAAATTCTCAAATTGGACCCCTCATGTTTTAATCCTTTGCATTATATTCAAACTTCATCTATGATATTTCTAATTATTTTACATCGGTATATGATCACTTAGTTGATACAAATTCGTTGATACTTCTTGAGCTTTTTGTGAAATAATGGCTTGTTTTTTATTTTTTATATTAGTTTAACATCCATATTCTTAGAATACATTTACTCTAAATTTGATATATTTTCCACATATCTACTTTTTTGTTGATTGTTAAATGCAATTGCACAATGTACGGTTAGTTCTTAATTTATTTTGATAACAGCAATTGAAACAAGGGAAACATTGTGAAACTTTTACTAACCTTTGACAACTGTCGTAATAAAAAACATAAAAAGCGAAGACCGAATGATGTACGGCATCGTATATTTCAACAACTCCACTTTATATCTAGCCTGTGTGCAGAATAATGGGCTGGTTTTATCAGGCTAGGATAATTTACAAATAGAGGAAATTTTGTAAGGATCCAGTACGTCAACACTTCTTGGGAATCGTCTTTTTTAACAATCTTTTAGTATTGGCACAATGGCTTTGAATTGAATTTTAATTATTTGTACACAAACGTGCTCGATAGGATACCAACAGAACAGTGGTAAAATGCCTCGCAACTAAAGACATCCCCAAAGGCATACTAGTGGGAAGACATCTTATTGGCTTTAGAGACAAAGAGTTTTGAAAAAGGCAATTAGTGGATACATGAAAATCTGCACGCAGGCTATTCTCTATATGCAGTCAAGCAGTCATCTCTATGACCTCACTAACCTGCGACCGACTGGGCTGCACGCAGGCTATAATGACCTCACATGATGACTGCTTGGTGTAAAACGCACCATGGTATGTTCTACATGGCGTGTTCAGGGGGGTTGCTGGGGAAATTATGTATTCCATTCCTATGCAGGAATTTCTCGTGTAATGATAGACATTACATCATCTGTGTAATAGCCTAGGTTTTTAGTAACTTATCTAGTGGGGATGAAGTAACAGAAGAGTGATGAGGGAAAGATCACATATCTAATGAAGAAGTCCTAATCAAAACCTTCCGTCAGAGGCAGTTAAGCTTTTTAGGACATTTTATGAGGAAAGAAAAGATCGAAAATGTAAAAAGGTAAAAAGAGCCGCGGAAGACCAAGACTAGCATATATTTATAGCTTGTGCAAGTGTACTCGATTGAGCGAAGTAGAATTGTTACGCAACACAAAGAATAGGATTGTGTGGAGAGTCATGATAGCCGGCCCGTAGCCAAGGGGTGGCATGGGACATACGAACGCCAGCTGTTTGCCACCCCGAGAAATTTGCCTTAAAATTTTTCAATGGGGTTTTTCGTCGTTTTTATTGGATTGCTATGGTAAGCCAACACTCACAGAAGGAATTTTTTTGTATCGGATTCTTTATTCCCAATATATGGCTTAAAATAGTGCTTGGTGCTCAAAATATTCTTCCGATGCTAAACAAAAACTTTCCCGGAAAATTTGAAAATTACCTTAAAATCATGATCCTGAAGTTTAAGAAGCGATTACCGTGACTTGACTAAAATATTACTGTATCGGCTAGAAGAGAAAGAAAATTCATGCTGATGGACATTCAATGGCCAATAAACATAATTGTGAAGCTGCTCCAATCACCCAGTGAAAATCGTATCACAAGACTGTCTGTAATTAAAGCAGTGAAACGAGACTTTCATTAACGCTGCAAAATCTTGACTGAGGACCAATGCTTGAAGATGGCTGCGGAGTTTTCACGGCAAATGTGTTCAAAGAATATCTGCACCGGATTGAGGCGGAGTCAACACGTGCATTATTAAGGGTAGATTCCCTTCAGCCACATTCCATGAAGACAGAGAGGGAATGCCATCCTGCATCCCTGGCATTTGGAAGAAAGATCTTGACGGAAGACATAACATTTGAAAGTTATTCAGTGTAATGGAAGTTAAGTTATTCAATTGCTAAGGAACTGTTTCAGCCTTTTTTGCTTGTTTGTTTCCACTTTAAAAATCCCCCCCCCCCTCACCCTACCAATACTCCACTTTAAACCTTGGCTGCATTGGGCATTGGGAGTTTGCTACCCCTACTCTACAGACCTGGCTACGGCTACGGGCTTGCATGATCGCCAACGTCCGGATCGTATAAGGTACCCACAGAAGAAGAAGAATCTAGTGGGGTGCCACAAGGAAGTGTTTTAGGCCCATTACTTTTCGTACTTTACCTAAATAGCTTACCCGAATGCTTAAATAATTCTAAAGTGAAAATTTTTGCCGTTCATTTGAAACTTTATTCTTCCAGTGGCGGGAAAAAGTCGATATCCAGTCTGTCATTTCAAATATTAGAAAATGGTCGTAACCGTGGCAATTTCCAACGAACATTGAAAATTACATGTTCCTTATCATGGCAACCAAACAGAAATATCAACGAGATATCATCTTCATGATGAAACAAACAAGTTGCTGAACGTGTAAAAAAGCAAATGGAATTCTTGCATCAATAAAACGAACCATCAAATTCCACAACAAAGAAGTATTCTTAACTATATACAAGAGAACATTACTTGAGACGGCTGGATCTATACGGAGCCGTAAACTAATTAGTAAGTTAAAATGCTGGTGTACAACGTCGGGCCGCGAATTTTTCAGTTCAAAAATTGGGTGTGGCAGAATTTGACATACCTACATCATTCAAAATTCGTGGGGAGAGCACGACCACTGCTATTTGCCTGGCTACGGCACTTTTAGTACCGTAAAAGCGGCTGTATCATGAAACTGCAGAACAAAGATAATCAGGACGTCACTTTTGGGGAAGGTTGGGGGAAGAGAGGGGCCGGTACGATTGTTAAGGAGTTTAGTTAAGGCTGCCTCTATGGGGGTTGGCGGCAAAAAATTTCAAGTTATGTTCTTCATCAGATGCATTAGTTATCTTCATTAGACGTCGAAAGGTCGAAAGGTAAACCAAGTGTTTAATAGGCACAAAAAATCACCCACTGAACAAAATTGTGCTTACAAGATGATAAATTTTTGCGTGTTGGCTGCAGTCACATGCCACTATCCCTTTCTTTGATTAGAGTAATTCTTCCCTCTTTTTCTTTGCTCTTTGAAGCTTGAAAATCTAGAAATTAAGAGCGCAGATCACAATTCGGCTGTGATGGAAGTCAAAACTTTTTTCCTTGCCCGGATTCAGGAAAGTCCATATCACATTTCTATGCGCTGTATCGGTAGCATCACGCATATAAGAAACACGAATATAATTTCAGAAAATCAGGTACAGGCAATTATTTTCAAAATAAATCCCATTTTACCAGAAAGTGATACACGGCTGAAAAAAGCCTGTTTCTCGAGTAGATGGTATGTAGACCTTCCAAAAACATAAGAAAAAAATTGATAAAATAAGTAATTGTACAATTCTCGTTGCCTTCGAAGAGTTTTTAGAAGAGCCATTAATTTATTGAGGAGCCACTAATCTATCTTCTTTTTCACTCATATCTAAGAGTAGTGCTATAAATTTCACCCTTTCAAAAAGCCAATCCTGCTGGATTAAGCGAAGTTGGTTTCGAGGTAATTTGGCGTGTTGCTGAAACAGGCATGATGAAAGTTTTAATACAGAATTGAAGTGATCCGAACACCAAAAAACTGACAAGGCGTGACAGTAAAACTCGGATTTTAAATCTAAAATACAATCCATCATTTCCCAGCTCCTCTTATTTATCATCTGTAAAACAGACTGAGGATTAAAACAGACTTAAAATTCTGTTTGAATCACATGTTATAACGTTTTTATAGAAAGGCGAACAACAAGAATATCACTTCAGAAAGACATCATATAAGCATATAAAATATTAAGTTAGCCAAAGCATTCAAATATATAAATAAAGCAGCTATTAAGCTTTTATACGACATTGCTGCAGATTAGTATATAAGCATTGTCTATGTTGCGCTGGGTTGATGCAGACCCCATTTTCACTATCTTCTTCACCGTTTTCCTGTTTGTAGGACCTGAGAGTGTCCATATCTGCGGGTTTGTGGTTATCAACAATGCGGCGATATCTCGATTTTGCTGGATATATTGTAACTGCGGATAAAAATTCATCTAAAGTGTGTTCAGTGCAGCGTGCAACAAATCTTATAAAAGGCCTGATATCACCAAGATTCCCTTGCTGTAAGTAGTCATAATAGTCAAATCGCTGTTCTTTACGAACTATGACTGGAGGGTACCCAGCCTGCATTAGAAATAAATTCATTAGTAATCGGGAAGTTCTACCATTTCCATCCGTGAATGGGTGGATATGGACCAATTTATAATGAGCAAGACTGGCAAGCTCGATAGGGTGAAGGAGGCCAGCCTCCCTTGAGTACAACCAGTTATCGAAATCTTGCATTAGTCTGTCAACATCAGAAGGATGTGGTGGAACGTGATCACCAACATAAACTTGTGTTTTCCGAAAAATTCCAGCTTCGAGGGGATCAACATGTCCCAAAACTCTACGATGCAGTTCAATAATGTCCTTGACACCAATATTCCCCACCCGGGGTAACAAAGTTGTGTTCATGTATTTCAACGCAGCATCAAGCCCGATGACCTCATTATGTTCCATAACACTCTTTCCACCAATCGCGATCCCACTCTCAACAATAGCCCTTGTCATCGATAACGTCATAGTGTTACCTTCAATTGCATTAGAATGATAGATATGCTTGTAATACGCCTCCATTTTCGCCCGTTGTAACGCAGCGTTTCCCTCGGGAATCTGCATCAGCGCTTCTCGTTTTACTTCGATTCTGCTCAGCATGTCCATATCTCGCTGCTTCACAAGAGGCAACGTCCTTATTCTATTTTTCATTGCTTTTACATGTCCTGGATTAAATACTAACGCAAGGGCATAATGATGCTCCGCATCGACAACATCATCATCCTCCACAGCTTCCCCATAGTCATTGAGAACATCTGGGTGATGCGGACTTAGTGATTTGCACTGCTTCAACAACTTGCGAGCCTTTTCTTTTCTTCCTTGAGCTTTCATCTGTGCTGCTAGTTTCAATGCTGCATTGGCCTCAGGGTGCAATGGAACAGCTGTGAAAGAGAAACAAAATCAGACTTATGGTCTTTAAAAAGCTGTTTCGTGAACATGCAGTAGGCTAATGACAAAATTTGGTCACTGGCTGAATTCCTGTGATGTCACAATTTTATTGCCAAGGGAGGGCATGCGCATTGACAGGGTTGTAACAGAGTGCGGTTTCTAAGCTAAATGGGCTGCAAAGTGGGCTTATGGAACTTTTTAAACTATGCAGGATAATACTAGGCCCTTTCCCTATAAAATATCTATTAATTCATTTTTAACACTTATTGATTGCATGATAACTCCAACCTGGATGTCACTAAGATAAAAATTATACAAAAATCAACAACAGCTGCAATTCATTCCAAAAGTTCTTGGATCATGCAGCAATTTGCTTTGTGTTTTTCTTTGTTTTCACTTTGTTTCACAAATACTACTACTTTGGCCTTATGCTGATAGAAAAAATCATAGAATGTCATCCCCCTTTTAAAGGGAAATGTACATATTTTCAATAGTGAGGTTTCAACTTGTCAAGTTATCCACCTAGAGCTTTTTAAAATTCAGTTTCAAAATATGGAAAAATTAGCACTAATTGATATTCAGCAAAACAGTACCAAAAAATTTCTACAGAAACTATATTTTCATTTTCTAAGCACAGAATCCTCATGCATGCTTTCTGAGATGTACGGATGATTTTTGCACTGAAGAAATACACCAAAAAGGCACTACATTGAGTTTTCAAAAAATGTTCTCTATAGTTTTTCTTTAAATATTCCTTAAAAAACTCATAGACCTTGTCAAAATGTTCTCTTTATCACTAATACAAGATGTTTTCATGTTCCATTTAAAAAACAACAGGTTATCTTGTTTCACATAGCCCCCTGGGAGATACTTGCATATGCCATTGAGAGTTCCGTGCAAAGTGGCATCACATGACCATTTCTGCTTGGGGAGGGGGGCTTAAGAGATGCAAAACCATATTTTACTGACAGAAATTCTTTTGTTACATTAACATTTTGCTATAAAATTAACTCTACTGATGAGTTCTCTGGAAGTTGGGGGGTGTACACCCCCCACACCCCCAACATGCTATGCCCCTGTCTGTGCACATTTGGTTATGATAGGATAGGCAGAATCATTACATCAGTTTTCTAAGAAATGATTAAAGAAGTGTTTTTTGTAATGTACAGAGTGTGTTTTACTATCTGTCATGTTATTGAAAGAATTTTTTTTAAATATGTTTTTAATTATTTTTAAATGTACAATAAAACAATAAAACAGGTTTGTATGCATATAAACTTGTCTTCTTTGTTTTCAAAAACATTATATTTCTAGGGTCTGTGCCACAGGGGTTCCAGGGGGCTACTGCCTCCTCACTTTTTTGCTAACTACAAGATTATAAACCAGCCTAAAAGTATTTATATAGATAAACAGCATACCCTAAATGTTTCCCACAATTGGGGCTAGAGGGGGTAAGGGAAAATTTTCTTTGCATTGCTGGCCCCTCTAGTTTAGGATCAATAGCATGTGCCCTGCTTTGGAACTGCTACATATTCAGGCTTGTTGTCAAATTTCTCTCAGCCCCAAACCTGCCTCTGTAATTTTGAGATTGTTAAAGTTTTTACAATGTAGTATATTCATAAGTAACTTAAAATCCTTTTATGCTACATTTTATTGTCAGAGTAATTGAACACCTAAGTTGCAATTTGCAACTTGCAAATACTCTCCTTTCTGATTTAATACAACGGCATTTTCTACCACTAAAAAGTTATATTATTTGGGAAAGAAATCAAATATCAATACGAAATTCTTACCAGTGGTTCCAACCCCAGTTTCTCGTTTTTCCAGTGAAGTTGATGCGATTATAATATTGAAATTCTTTTTCTGAGCCAATCCTTCGCTGTGGTGGTGGGGCTGATCCAAGAGCGAAACAATTAATGCATTTTTAAAACTAGATTTCTTTTCGTAACCAAAGAGGCCATTGTATTTAGTTTGAGCAATATTCATAAATGAGTTCAAGTCAACTTTATGAGACATGCTTGCAATCAAAAAACCAATCGCTGTTGACAAAATACACGAAACTGTAACGGTCACTACTGGATTTGAAAGACAGGAAGAATTCTTCGCCCTTCTTGTCCGCTCATCTTCCTTGAAACGAATGAAGTCTTCAGCCTCCATGTTCATATTCTATTCAAAAATTTCAACTTGCACAATTTAGGTTTCTTTATAATGATGATATGTCTCGTGAGAAACATTAAACGATGATAACAAAGTTTACACATCCTTGAAACATTAATTTTCTGTCAGTCGTCCATCTTGTTTCGTAATAAAATTCTGGTGACTCAGAGGTAACATGAAAACGAGACTTAGTAAGTAATAACATTCACACCTGACATTGTTTCTTGGCAACCCTCAAATCATCTCTATGCTCAAAATAGGCCATAAAAGAGAACTGAATTATTATCACAAGAATTTTAAACAGGTTGAGATCAATTTCTGAAGGCTGACTTAAAGTAAACTAGTGAAAGCATTAAAAGAGAATGGCTTTGACTGAGGACCTAAAAGACTTTAACAAGCCACTTTACTAAGAGCACCTTATACGAACTATAACCTAGTGTTTTTAGTTGGTGCATATTATCTAACGAAAATTAATGCTAAAATTTGAACTGAATGTGGAAAGAGTATGAAAATGAAAAGGCAAGTTCAAATCAGAACGATTAGCTCCATCAAAATATCATTGTTGGCGTCAGTATTCTATCGGCTAGAGGGCTGAATACCTGTACAATTGTTAGCTGATAATTTCTACACTAAGGGGTGGTGAACTTACAAATTTCTGGTATGAAATTATAAATTCTGATAAAACCTTGCCAAAGTGGTTTTCTAAAAATTTCCGCACTCAATATGGCTTACCAACCACAACCAGCCCTTCCCCAGCTACGAATCCCCCGGCTACTACTTCCCCTCCCAGCTACAAAGTTTAAAATTAAAAATATACACTCCATGTTCCAATCAGGTAAGTAGCCGAGGAGATTACAGCTTACTCAATTCTTAGGGCTTATACCTTCTTGAACACGAGGTTTTAATCATTATGCTTGCATATCCAATATTTGTGAAGTTTGGAAAGCGATGGATCTGATACTCTTTATTCCTGATTGCATGCTCATTAAAATTTTTTCATTAAAATTCAACAAAATTCTACTGCCATTCATCAAAATTGCATCAAGGTTTTTTTTAAATTGCAGCATAGAATTTTCACGCAAGGAAGTTGCAACAAGAGTCGGGAAATTTTCAAGATGAAGAATCAGATTTTAGTTAACATCAAGTAAAAAGTGTCATAAAAACTTCAAACTATCATCTTGTACAAAACACGAACAGAACAAATGTACTACATTATATAGAGAGAGGAATAAATCAAATTGCTTATAATTCAACGAAGCAAATAATTTGAGTTTTTGGAATGACGTGCATGCTACATACAATCTAGCAACGACAAGCAACCTGAAAAAGCTTGACGAAAAGTGTACTGGAAAAGATATATTGAGAAATGTAAAGAAAAGATCAAAACAGGGTAAGACGAAACCACAGCAAATATTAATGTTAATGCGGCTTAAAGAAAATTAAAATACCTAAAAACATAAAATTAAACCAGATTAAAACGTATTCTTTCCAATCTATTTATGCAACAAGCCTTCCATTGACAATTTATAAAGATTAAGATTAGGGTTGGGGTAAAATGGGAAAAAAAGCACTACAATATTTTTCAATATCGCAATATTATTATCGCATAGGGGCTCAGAAGCATCGTGGCATTAAACAAAATGGCATGCTAGAAAGATCAGGGGGTAAAAACGTAACATCTATAGAAGATAAAAACGAGACAAACAATAGAGTCACGTCGCCCCTTATGGAACGATTCGATTTTTTCATGAGTTCTGACCGTGCAATGATAAAAATAAATATGAAGGAGTTTAGGTTAGTTTATCTTCAAAAAACGCGCAAAATTATTTTGCTGACGACATTACTTGAACTCTTTGCTCATTATCGTTGTTTCATTTTATTCTTAAAAACTAGGAGAATATTTTAAAAGTAAGCGGAATGTAAACGAAAAAGTTGTCACAAGACCTTCGACCCTTTTTTTTTCCTGCACCTCAACTTTCTTGGTCATTCCCTCGGTCGGTTGTTTAGCTTAAACAAAACCAACCCCCACAACGTGTTTCTTCATCTCCCAAAAACGAATACTCGTTGAAACCCAAACAGAAGCTTGCACAATTTTCTTGAATTTGAAAACAAATGGCTCAATGAAAGTATGATTTGATATTGACGAATGATAAAGGTAGAAGGAAAGAAGGCAGATAATAATTCCCAGTTTTTTTCCATTGTGTGCTTTTCTGCACGCCTAAATTTGAGTCGTTCCATAAGGGGCGATGGCCCAAGTTTTTCACGAAGAAACCTAGCCTGTAGTAATGTTGCTCGTGCAGAAAGAGAGAAAAGCCGATACGACTGTCTTTACACAAGCATGTAGATTATACAGTATTTTATAAGGAAGTACCAAAAAGCTGAGGAAACAATTTTTACAGAAATCATTCCATAAGGGGCGACGTGACTCTAGCTTAACTTTCGCAGTTGTCAATTGAGACGCAAATGGCATTAGCACTGCATGCTTTATTATCAGCCCCAAACATAACATAACCAACTCTTTACAATGCAAAACCAAAAAGTTGAAGATCAACGGTTGAAATATTCTCTGGTTCTCCATGAGCACTGGGCCAGTATTTTGTGGTTAGTTTTCAGTATGTTACAGGTAGCAACAAACACTTGTGGCGTTATCTGAATACAAAAATACTTGCAACCAATGATGCATCTCCGAATTCTCTTTCCAAGGAACAGCACGATCTCCTGACATCTTCTGATGGATAATGACAAGACAACTACAAGAAGAACAGCCTGTCTGACAGCTCCAAGGCAGGGTCTTTGTGTAGCGAGCAACCAACCAGATAAGCCAACTTGTGGGCGTACTGAAATAATAGTTTTGGTGTTAGCTGTGAAAGAGACATGGCTTTGTTTTTAAAAACTTCATTCCTATAAAAACCATATTGCTTTTTTTACTTTTAAAATACAAAGTCTTCAATTATTTCAACTTAAGGGAGCGAAAATATCTCTTCACCACCCAAATATTCAAAACCCATGTTTATTTTCCCATAAAACCTTCAAAAGCGAACAACGAATAACAAAGGGAACATATCTAAAATTCCCATTCAACTCTTTCAAGTAGCCATAAGAAGATGTTTCCTAGATTTTTTTGCAAACGTCTTAAACTTGATTTCTATTGAATATTGTCACTAAGCGTAGCTAAAATACTCATTCGATACAAGAAGTAAATTCGTACTAGCTTACCTGACAAGGTGCCGGAACGCGAACAGTTCCAGGCCAATTGTAGTACAAGTGTGTTAGCTTGTACGAAAGCCTAAAACGTGAAGGCAAAGTCAAAATAAAGATGTCTCAGCTTCAATTGATATGAGTTTGGCCAAAATACCAACTCGAAATAAAAAAGCTGACAATCTGGTTTAAAAGGAAGCAATGCTGCAACAAGCTTTTCTGTATAATACAGTAACGCAATCCCTGAGGACTGGAGAACCTACAGACGCAGTATACAGCCCTTGCAACAACTAGCGAACCCTCACTTGCTATAACTTTCCTTTCTTATTGCAAGGAGAAAACCTGTTTGAATCTAATTCAAAATTTCCTCTATCAGACGAAGTAACCAAACTGTATGGTGTGGAGCGTCTACAGAACCACACCAGCAAAATAAGAGGAGGTTGAGAAGGGCACTTAAGGACGAGCTGCTATTCTATGCTTAAGAAGCTTCTTGATTTGATCTTAGATGTTATTGAAATGTCCCTTAAGGTGTAATCAGCTAAGAAATCGGGCGTTCTATAGACGAAAATAATGTTCAGCTTGACTACTTCATCACTTTCGAACTGTTTCAACCCAGTCTATTGTTTGAATGCGGAATCAACTAATCGTTTACTTATGACAGAAAATGAATCAAATAAATACAATCATATAATCAAAGGAAATGAATCAAAGAAGTTGTATGTTAGATTGAAATAGTTACAACAAAACTCGCAGCTCCATTTCTGAAAGACTTAACTTTGCAAATGATCCGCTTTCAAACCCGACTCGTCATGTACGACAACATAATGAGTCGGCGATACAGTGCCTTGTCGGACGTGTTGACTCACCAAAAAGAAATCAAACCTAAAAAAAAACCATCTGCTTTAACAAATTTTTTAGCATCGGGTCATCAAAAGTTCCTCTTTGTTCAAAATGGGATGTCACCGAGTATTTCATGATTTTTTCAAATGCTCTATGACGGGTGGGAAAAGTTGAAAGAAAATACCTGAGAGCATTAAGGGTGAGCAAGGTGTCCCCATTTTTCTATATCATCTTTGATTTACTTAGAAACAGGCAGTGAGTTTCCTTAACTGCCAGTAAAGACTTGAAGGCATAGAGCTAGATGCTTCCTAGTCAATGAAGCGAACACATAGTTCCCACCAAGGACACACAATATAAGACTAAAATAATATGAAAAGAAACTGGGCTACTGGGGGGTACTGGGCTAAGAAGATTGAGAAACGGTTTTCAAAACCTTGGATGAATTTCTTGCAAAAAACCTGAGTTGACTTATAACACGAGTTCCAGAACCTAGAGAAACAACTAATCTTTACATTTTTAATTGGTCTCAAATGAAGCTACCTAAAAGCAATATGATCTTAGAACAATGCGTAATGAAAAATGGGCACTTACCAATCTTTTCTCGTCACTGTATGATCAACAACTGAGCCGGGGGGTGGGTTATCAAGTTTTCCTCCTTGGCTTGTCTTTGAATAAAAAGGTGCTTTTTTAGAATGATAGTACCGGTGTAAAAACTCAAATTAATGGTAAACTATGAGACCGATGTGGGTTTGTAAAATTACTAGCTCGTCTATATTAAAATTGTTTTGACTTTACCACTTATGCTCCCCCTTCCCTCCCCTAACCCTCCCCCTTCTCTCCCCTAACCCTCCCCTCCCTTACAACTAATATAGGTTAAAATAATCCAAGTTACAGAAACATATGTTTCCTACCCTTGTGGTAAACTATAGTTGCCTGATGATCGCAAAGCGTGAGACTCGGAATAGGAACTTAGAACCGTCCTGTTCTATACACCAAACAGCGCGTTTCCTACCCTTCTACGTCTATTTCAGCGAATGAAAGGTTGATGAGGGGCAAAAGTGATGGTTTTATACGACATCGAAATGAAAAAACACTCACCGCTGCAAAGATTCTCATGTTTATCCTCTTCTGGACGACAATCACGGCCATTTTTGGTTTGTAAGATTCACCGAACAAGGCGAAACAATCAGAGAACTGCTGCACCTCGTAGTTAGCAACGACGTGGAGTTGTCCATCACCAACACCATCACGGTAAACAATGATTCGCTCAGGTAAATCGTGATTCACCTGCATACAGCAAAAGGATAACAGCCATCAGTTAAATGCGAAGGATACTTGCTGTTCATAAAAAGTATCACACAAGAAGCATAAGAAAATCAAAGCTACTTGGGTAGCATTATTCACTTTCATAGATATCCCTCGCTCGATCATTTTAGATAGAAATAAGCCCTTAAATAACCACGATTTCCTTGGATATTTAGCCTTTATAAACTTCGAAAGTGACGTGACATCTGGTAAATCGCGTCCGATCTGAATAGCCATCTATGACGTAATATTATGAATTTACTTAAGCCAACCGGTAAAACTGAGCCCGTTAGCTCGAATCCGACCACATTATAGCTTCGGGTCAACTAAGAGTCATATATTCAGAGATATAGGTTCTCAATTCCTACATTTCTGCTAGTTTCTAGTCTTATCTTTTCTTAGTCTTATCTTAGTCTCATCTTATCGTTTCTAGTCTGCTAGTTTCTAGTTTCTAGTATTTCTGCTAGAAGCATTATCTAAAATTGCTTCAGTCAAGAAAGCGCTCTCACAATTTGCCTATAATTCAATCCAACAAGTAACAACATGACTGAATTACCTCGTGATATTTTCTCAATGATGCCGTGAAGCAGACCTTCAAGCCATCAATCAGCTCTTGGCCAGGCTGCTGGAAACACACCCTTGAATACCATCGCGTGAATGTCTTGTTCGTGGATGCAACGAATCCACCAATCGAGCGCCCGCCTTTGCCACCATCGTGGTACACGTCAATACCAACAACCATAACAGATCGCTACAAAACAACCCCAAATAATCGATAAGGTGTTGTGTACAAGAGACCTAAAGGCTAAATTTCCATTGGCCAGGGGTTCAGCCTCGTGCCCCATTGTGAAATTCCTTCAAAGGCACGTTAACTCGGGAACTTAATGGGCAAGGATCTACCAAGCATATCGAGTGAAATTACTTGCATCAAAATGAATTACTTGAAACTACTCTGGCACTGATGTCGACTTCTCTTACTTATGCAGTGTTGTACTCCATTAATAAGCCTGAGTTGTATAAGCGGTTCTTGAGACATGTGGATGTTCTAGTGACTCGTTCTATTATTTGCATAAAAATACAATCTTATGAAACTGCATGCTAAAATATCAGTAAATGACAAATAAAAAGCTATAGAGTCATTACGTAGCATACCATTGGTATTTCGAGGGCCCATAGCTCTCCCCCTAATTTGCAGTTGATCTGCAAAGCGATCTTCTGTGTGACACTGCGTAGCTTGTTAGCCTGCGAGATTGTCCTCGCATTGATGCACTGCAATGGAAATGTATTCAGTGTACAGAAAGCTAATGATGATTAGCATTATCAACTAAAGCACTGAGGGAAGGGAGATCATAAATCACAAATAAACGTCATAGAGGTTCGCATTTTTATCATCGTATTCTCAAGAGATGGTTAATCTAGGGCTTTGGACTTTTTGGAATTGAACCTAACAACTAAACACAAAGGAAAAAAATCCTTATTCATATATGAAATCACAACAAGCATTTCAATTAACATTCAACTATTAACCCTATACCATAGAGAATTATTCTGAAATTATACAATTTACTTCTTTCAAAATTTTTACTCCTAGACTGGACATAGCACCCTAAAGTAATTTGAATGCGAAATTCCACGTTAAATTTTTTAAATTGTGGGATTATGAGATGCTATAAAAGATCTGACTGTGGAATCTGATTGCCGGTGAAAGATTCGTCCGCTGCAATTTTGCAACTAAATGGCCAGTGTCATCAGCGGCCAATATATGATCAAGCAAAATGAAAATTTGCATAGGGAAGAAATGTTTTCGGTTCTAAATCAAATCTGACAGTAAACTTAATCATTGTATTGCCCAATCAATTACGGCAGATTCAGAGACGAAGGTGTATAGTCCGCAGCATCGATGCTCCTACCTGAGAAGGAACAGGGCTTTCCACACAACACAGTTTTTTGACAGCAGCATAACGATCGTCTCTTGAAGTTGGGAATATAGTAACAACCATCTGGACTTTCGGGTTGAGGTTGTCTCTGATAGCCTTCAAGTACGTCTCTGTTCGTTCGTCTTTCAGATGGACATTCATTGGCTGCGAAACCTAGAATATAAGTAGTTGTCCTGTTGTTATCCATCCGACCACTAGATCAATGAGAAAATCTAACAGCAAATATGGCTACTATCCTTGCTATGATTAGATCCTACACCCCCCACACCATGACTCGATATCTCTGTTTTTTAAACATAAATTGCTCGAACATGGTAAGGTGATGTAGGATTATACATACCAACATGTGTTAGAGTGCTTGTCTCAATAGCTGGGTCCAAAATTGTAGCTTGGCTCCTAAACTCCAGGAGATACTCAAGCTCTTAACAGTGGCATAGTAAAAGTGACCAGTGTTACATACGATGTCTGATTGCTCAGTTTCAAAAGAGCCTTCTGTAGAGCAGATCCCAGCTAAAGTGGCCGTCCTCGCAAGGATGGCAGAAGTATATAAAAGTTTACGGGTACAAGTAGTAAGGAGTACTGTGTCTCACAAAAATTGGCACTTGAAAGAGGCTCGTCTGAGAAAAGGGGCTTTTTTCAAAAGTTGGCGGCAACTTGCCACTGGCTCCCAAAAGTTCCAACGGCTCTGGTCAGATGAACAAATATCATGAGGATGGCCTTAAAACATCGTAAATCAGAATAAACGAAGTATCAGACCCAAAGTCCATCTTTCTCTCGTTCTTTATTAGGTAGGTCCAGAAGAAGGTCAAACGTTGAAATGGACACTGCTGAACACGGTACAATTTCTGCCAAAATGACGACGCGTTCATACCTGAATACCCATGGCAGGGGCGACTTTGCCCATGGTGTTGCAGAAGTCCATGGCTTTAGCCTCGTCACGCTTCGTGTAGATAACGATCCAATTGTTGAGATTAACCTGAAGAAAATTGAGACATGTCAAAAAGAGGTTGCTAAAACACCAAAATAAAAATAAGGTTATATATTGGGTCAAGCATTCGATACTTTGCTCCTCGTCAAGACAATGTTTTTTACAATTGTCTTTATGAGAGCTTTAAATTAAGCTGGTAAAGAAGAGGCTTTGGTACCTATAAAGACGGCAGGGACCATGGAATGACCTCAAAAGTCAACTAATTTTTGCAACGTGAAAAAATGATGGAAAAGAAAAGTAGACTAGAACAGTGCCAAGAAAAAATTCATGGCCTAAGAAAGAGCCAACGGTAGTAAAATCAATTTGCGATTTATACACTCTCGGCCGGCGATTAAACCATCTTTATCATTATAAAATAACGCTCGAGGCCTTCCTCAAACTATAATTATGTCCAGAATCATAGCTCTTGTATCAGAGATTAGGTGAAATTTAGAAAAATACCTTGTTTACAACCGGATCTGGAAGAAACAGAAATCTGCCCTCCCTTCGAAAAAACAAAAATGGGGGAAATGACTTCTAAGCTCCACACAACACACTCACCGATATTTTTCTAAAATATGTCAAACATTTTTGGCATACTTTCGAATCAAATACCCACGTTCTTCACTAGAGTTATGGCGTGTTGAACTTTTCGATTTAGGATAATACAAAAACATTTTTAAATGAAAATACATACAGCAGAAATGACGTTTTCTCTAGTGGCCTCTCTGCCCCAGTCTGCTTCTCTGTTGGCCGTGAACGACGTGCTTCCAAGCAGAATCTTTTCGGCTGGTAGATTTCGTCCTTGAAGCTACAAAATTATAAAGAATGATTTATAAAACTACACGATGATGTCTTAACTGTGAAGAAGAAGGGAGTGACAGGTGCGTGAAATGAAGTGATAACGATAGGAAAAAGCAATTTTTAATTTTTTGAGTCTGAAAATTGTCAAGTGGTTTCATGATCATATCGAGGGAGAAACGTTTATGCACGACTCAAACCGAATGAACTTTGTTCCACAAAACTATACGCATGATTATTCTAACAAAAATTTACAAGAATGCGTAGTTAGTGTCGAGAAAATGCTTCGGGGAACCACTGGCCTGCTAAAATGGAATCTGATTGAATTTTATACTGTTCACTTGGTCACTATGGCTGAAAACAATGGCTTCTTTTAGTGTTTTCATGGTTGGTGGCATTAGCCAAATCTTTACATGCAGTCTTACCAGTTGTATGCAGAAACGACAAGGGTTTAGAGAAAAGGGGTCTTGTCAAGTTTTGTTTAGCTATTATCCTCTGTTTATCAGCCAGGTCAACTCGTGGCAGCTTGATAATCTTAGCTTCCTTAAGGTTTGGCCAAACGCTACCTCGACGTTCTTGCTGCTTTCAATGTTAAAATTTGCTTGGCCATTCCATTAAATTATACAGGGATGCAGAGCTCAGCTCTATCTTTGCTGAAAGACTTTGAATGGAAATAGAAATGTTCAGTTAAGCTTTTTCATTTTTCAGGGAGAAGTTAAGCGTTGCTTTGGTTTTTCCACTGAATAACGCAAAAAAAAAAATTTGAACAAGTTGAGTTTCCCTCAATAAGATTAAAAAGTTAAATTCGTTTTGCCAAGGTTTAAGACTTTTTCTGAATCATGAAAGCCACCTGTTACCATATGGATTTGGGGCTATGCCTCTTTTTCCTTTATAATATAATGGCACGCTCTATTAAGTATCGAACATATTTTTAAAAAAAATAAGAAAGAAATGCATTATCACCGAAATAAAACAAACAGTAAATGAATGATAACGGGCGGAATGCACAAAGAAAACTGGTCAGATCACTTACAAATAGGACATTGAAATCAACAGCAATAATCCAATCAGAGTGAATGCCTGTAGGCGATTGTAAATACCGACTTTTCCCTGGTCTTACTCAATATAAAAAATATTGATGCGACAAAAATTAATCTTAAGTAAATATTACCAATACCTTCCGCATGAAATGTACTTAATCGAGACTTCGTATTCTTTAACAAGGAAATCTGACGCAAATATTTTGGATTTTAAAACGTAATACATGAATTTTAATGCTTGGTAAATACCCTTGTAACGAAAGCTACGAAAACTAAATCTACTAGACAACACAACAAAACAGGACTACGACCTGAGCTTTTTGCAAAGCAGTTATTTTTAGACGATTTGATAAACAACATGACACACACGTAACGTTAGGCTAAGACACCAGGAATGAAAACTGTTTTGAATTCCAGGAAATTCCGAAGTTTTAGCTACGCGGATGGTATGTGGTGTTCATGAAGTCGTCACGCTTATCTTAAAAACATTGGCAGAAGGTATGGAAAGGCGTAAACTGTATATTGTAACACGTGGATAAAGCACAGATTCCAATATGGTTTAAGCAAGTTGCAACTGACTGCTTAGAATATACATTTAATAGATCAATGCTTTACATCCAAGACTTTTAAGTGATACTACATTTTTCAGTTGCAGATGTCAGGGAAAGGCTCTTGAGCCTATAGGCAAGCCCTAGCCAGGGAAAGGAGGGAAGGGTGTTGAAGAGAGGGAGGGGAGTTAAAGAGAGGGAGGGGTGTTGAAGAGAGGGAGGAATGATCAAAATAGGATAAGATTATGGGAGGCAGGAAGAGGGTAGAGCAATTAAAAGTTTCAAGATCTGAGGAGGAAGAATGGGGTGTGAGCAAATTGCTATTCTTCCATCAAATCGATATCTGTCACTGTTTCATGCATTTTAGACTGAGAGAGCTCCTCCTCAAAGAAATCCCGACCATGTTATAGCTTATACCCTCCAAATATATGTAAATGGTTACTTTTTATATTAAACTTCCAGCTGTTGATCTGTAATTTTTTTATATGTGTATGTTGTGAATTTTGAAATTGAAAAAGTGAAAGTTGTCCAAGCATCAGTGTCAAAGACAGTAGCTCAGGTCAACTCGTTATTACAGAAACGATTCTATACATCTCACGTCCGATTTTTATCTCGTTCGGGGTTTTGCATACAAAACACATACAAATTCTGGATAACTGACGACTCTCACCACAAAATGCATATCATCAAACGAATACCTCTTGCAAAAAAACATACCTGGAGTAGATTTCGATCCAGCTCTAAGCCCCAGTTCATCAATTCTTCAAGAGCCTGAAATTAGAATATTTGTTTAATAAAAAATTAGTGTTTTCTAAGTGGGCACAATAGCCTTTCGCAGTCTTCAAACTAGGAAAATGCTACTTAAGGTGTGATTATAAATACACTTACCTTTTCATTTGAATATATATTACTGACAAAGTTTTTCATGCTTTTCTCTCTATCTCCAGGCGAAACTCTGGTGTGACTTGATATGTCCTATAAGAAAACAGGTACCGTTGAAGCGAAAGACTTTTGTAAAATGAAATTTTGTAAAACGTCGAATGTAAAATGTAAAATATTGACGGCCATATATTTTTTCATTCTCGTTGTTGCAGTTCGAACAAATAGCACCACTGCGAAGCACTAGAGAGTATTTCAAATGCTTTACTCCAAGGCTCTGGGCAAAAGGCCCCATTCTGACAGTGTGTGGATGTGGCTAGGTCTTTGACACATTGATAAATTCGAATTCCACTGCATCTTTTGCTAATACATGCTACTAGATAAAGAAGGAGTAATTTATGGACTTTCGATCCATCTATGTTTACTAAGGCCAACACCAGTCTAAAGTGCCTTATTTTCACAATTACAGAATCCCTCGCTTTATCACTCTAAGGTAAAAGAATATTCTTCTTCAAATTTGATAATGTCTACCGACTGCAGCAGAGACAACCGAGTAACCCACTATGCCAAGAGCGACAAATATTTTGCAGTCCTCAAAAGAAGAACAAATCTTTAGAAGTGTATTTAGAGAAAGAATCTTACTAAGATACAGATACACCTACCTTCATGACCCTGAAGTCGGATCGAATTTCGTCAGTCAGTCCTGTCATTGAGCAAAGCTCTGGTATCAGACAGATCACTTCATTAGCCGGGGCCTACAATAGGATGAAAATATTGCTATTTCTTTCTAACACGGCTAACTGAAGCAAAGATTTACTGCTTACTTGGATGGATTTTGAAAAAAGGAACCAAAGAAAAGAGGAAGCAATGTTTGAAAGAATACCAGGATGAGATGAGAATACCATGAGGAAGCAATTCTAAGGATGAGAAGAATCCCAGGCAAACAGTTTTATTTGTTGAAGAAAACAAATTCTGAAAAATATAACAGAAGTAATACTTTTTGGCTCCTTGCCTTGATTTAAAAAAAGATTTGTCACCCTTTTTTCACGTAAATGTTAAGTAAAACATCGTTCATCACGAAACAATAAACTCTTTCTCATTGCTCTACCCTAAACGTAAGGCAAGCATCGGTCAAGATTGGTCTTGCAATCATCAGATAACATCCATTATTTCAAGCAGACATTGAATTTTTTATGGTGATACATAGTCATTTAAGTATAGCAAGAAGGAAAAGTCTTCGCAAATCGTTTTTAGATAAAGTAGAACAACTTTACGGCTTGCAGTAGCACAACTTATAAAGGTCAGTTTACAGACACTGTAGAAAATTTACCAAGGCTTACATGTACAATGTATTTTGGTCATAGGATTGTGAATTCATGGGAAGGGGGGAAAATCACTACACAATATTCTTTTTGCCTCAAAACAGCGAACGAATTGCCTTGAAGACAGCAAAAACTTTCAGCTTTGCCGACTTACAGATGCACATTGTGCTTTCATAGACTGGATAAACTTCGTTGATTACACCAAAATATTTCAACACGATGCTGGTTTTCAACTTATTGATGACAAACTTGCTACACAACAAGCATATAATTATATATATGACATAACTAACTCAAATGAAATGTCTGAACACTATCGCAGAGTTAAAGATAAACATAACTGGCTTTTAACAAGGGTTATAATCGCATTTCGGTGCAACGTTAACAGATAATAAATCCTGGGTCAGACGTATTCGAAGATTGGATCAAAAAACAACAACAACGTGTTATAGAAACAATAAAACTTCCAGTCGAAGGAAAAACAAAAAATATTGATTTAACGAGTACAAAAATAACCCAAACAAAACAAGGCCTGTTTACCACTTATTTAAAGTTGGGAGTAAATCCCATATTTTCAAATATGGTATCCATACCTTTTGTCCCTTCATGGGTTTCGGGCGATGAATAAGCAATGGCTGATCGATATCATCTATCTTCTTGTTGTACGATTTCCTGAAAACGATAATAGCGCTGATCTTTGAACCGAAGAAATTGTTGACAGCAGACATCATATCCAAAAAGCATTTCATATAGTTCTAAAGAATATATCAAGTAATGGTGCATGGCAATTGAAGTTTTTTGCTTCAGAATCTTAAATATCAAATTCTTTATCATGTTGGAACTGCTGTTTAAAAAAGCATCAGAAAACATTCACCAACCACTGGTACAAAGTTTCGTCAGTGTTTAATACAAATCTTTAAATATACAAATATATACATACATACAAGCATACAGACGTAAATGTTGTCTATGAACTCGCAAATGATTATAATCACAAACAGTCAAACAAATTCGTACAGAATTCGAAGCTGAAATTTCTATCCTTGTCCTAAATAATAGCCTAAAGTAACTGACTTAAAAACGCTTTTATAATTATGATAAATAAGAATTTAATAAAATGACCAAAGGAGTTTCTTTGACATAAACTAAAAAATTTCCTCTTTTGAGAAAATTGCAATTTTTGTACTGAATTAAGCCTGAAGACACACTTGAAAGCGGCAATTCACTAAGGCTTTTAATATTCACGTATTGAACACAGTAGCCAGTCATTAGGGTATCCTTCTAATGGCTACTTCTAGTCACTAAACAAAGGGTTTGTAGACATTTGTGAAATGAAAATTACTTTCGATAGCAAAATGCCATGCAGTTGTGATAAAACTTAGGGCAGAAACATTTGAGAACTTACGCGTAATAATCGATGTAGCTCATCTCTTCCCCAGAATGAAAGACGAACTTGTTCTGAGGATTTTTGTCCCAGGCAATGTCATCGATTCTGTAGGTCTTATTGTTGTACCTGAGTAGAAAATATAAATAAGTGTATCAAACATACCAAAACTAGGTTCCTATCAAATCTGTAACAAGAAAAAAGGCTTGCATAAGGAAAAGAGAATTCAGAAAAGGTGTAAAAAAACTATAACAGCCTCTTATTATTAATCAGGGACCCCACCCCCTCGATTTCTTACAAAAAGATAGTAAAAGAACAATACTTTATTCAAATTTGCTCACTTTGACCCACGTTAGGATACATCGTTACTTTCTAATTATTCTACAATAATCTTAACCGTGATCAGTGTTGGATCGTAACAGTCTTCGGTCTACGAAATTAAAGTTTTGATGTTTTCAGGTATTATCAATGAAAGCTCTCCTTGGGTATTTATCTCTGAAGCCTTACCTGGTCAAGACGATATTGCCAACAAGCTTTTTGGTTACCTCAGACTGGAAGTTCTGGGGTTTCTTTTGGTAAAAGGCATACCTGGGCAAAACCAAAGGATTCAAAGGTCATACGATAAACAATAAAATAGAACAACGGTGATGACATGTCCAAGAATAAATTTTACATCTAGATATATATTTCATAAAAACTCAACTTTCAGCAACTAAGAATGGCATTTAAAGATGGACTTTAAAGAGAGCCTGTGGTGCCAACGTCAACAGCACCTTCAACAATTTCTTTGGGTTAGCAAAATAAAACAAAGATATTGGGATTCAATTCTGTGTAATTATTCCACTGCATGCTCAAATCCATATATTGACAAAGACAGCTGTTATGAAAACCTAAGCCATCATTCTTAACTAGAAATGTTTTGAAATTTCTATCAACAAAGAAGCTAACTTACATGAACTGCAAGACGGATTCAGTTCTCAAAAGTCGGTGAGAAACATCAGCAAGGAGCATAAGGCCACCTATAAAGGGAAAGCATGCAAAAAATTGACAATTTGACTAAAAGACGAATGCAATATAAAGAAAAGAGATAAGCATTTAATTTTCGAGGGAAAGCTAATTTGATTTAGGAAACCTTTTCTGAGGAAACAAAGAACGGATAGAAATGATCATAAGTTGGTTAGATATATTAACGGTAAAAACTATTCCAATATACGATATTATCAATTTGTATGATTCTAACATGAATTTTATCTAAGTATCAAATTTACAAGGGCTTAGTATGAGACAACTCTTCTTCAGAGAAAATTTTGAAGCCTCAAGCAGCCTTAGAACTATGGATATACCAATAACCATCGTTATACCATTGCTTATATAAAACAAAGGTGGTTTCAAAGTGATTTGATGACGTCACCTTCATAATGCTCAATGGCAGTAATATATCCAGGCCAGAGCTCTAGCTTGTGTTGAGGAATGGGCACTGGTTGATTTGGATTGTAGTAGTAGCGCCCAACTTGGCTCATCTCCAGGATCCTCATAACACTGCAAATCAAGCGATAGGGTTTAGTCTGAAGGGACATGTTCATAGCGAAATAGCGACTAAATTCCATAGCAGAAAAATTTATATTGTTCAAAAAAGTCATTTAGAGTGCAAATGGGGACAATCTTTCACATTTTGCTTTGTTATGGTTAACCTGAGAAATAATGTTGATTTGGATCCTTCTGGTCACAAAACCTCTTCATTACCTATGCATAGAGATAACCTGTAAAAAGTCATGACAGAAATCGTGAAAACATGAAGGTTTTGATTAACAGTGTTTTCAGATCCCCTCAGATACTGGTCACTTTAAAGGGCTAGTGTAAACGAGTAGCTTGAATTTTCCATCAGCACCAGAAAGCTATTCATAAAGTTATTCAAAATTATGAATATTATGCTTACCGTCTAAACATGATGTTGTAGAGCTGCATGCACTGACGATCTTCAGGGTCAAGATGTTTTACAAAGGTGATGGTTAGCCTGATTTCAGCACCGTCTGTTTTTCTAGTTGAAGTTAGCATCTTAGTCTGGAGAAGATTAAGACCATTAATTGTGATATCATTATATACATCAACATTAATGGCCCCCATTCACCCTTGTTTCTAAGAAGTTGAGGTAGTTTACCCTCCCTCCGCCCCAATTGCATTACGGGAATTATGTAGAAATTGCAAGATATTTGTCTGGCTGCTCCTATTTGGCAGGGGTCAAGCACTTTTACTGGCACTTTCACAAAACAGTCTTTCAATTAGTTTGCTTTAATATAAAATATTTTTGGCATTATACAAATAAAAATATCAACAAACTTTGATGTTCTACAAACAAAAATCTAATTTACTTGCATACATACATCCTCATCAAGCTTCTTTGGCAAAAACAAAACAGCACCATCAAAGGCTCTAGTTTTTCCAATCACATCTCTGTGCTCATTTAGCAGCTGATATCTTATGCTTTTGCTCTCAATGTCAGGGCTAAATGCCAAAGAAAGGAAACATGAAATTATGGTTTTCAAGTAAATAACCAGTATATATATAATATTAACATAAAATTATTGATGAATTACCCAAATTGCTTGTCCTTTGAGCAAATGTTTAGAACAAATTAGAATAAATTTGGAACAGACGCTAGAAATTGGCAAATAATTTCACCAAACTCCATGTTTAATTTCCAATAGTTCTGAGCTTCTTTGTCCAAGTATAAGACATACTCTACTATTAATGAAGTGAGAGCAGATTGACCTTCCAGCATACAAATGTTAATTGATATGGCATAAAGATTACCTGTAGGAAACAGCATACTGGTAGGCTCCTCCAAAAGTGGCTTTTATAGGAATATAGTTTGCCACAACTGGGACTCTGAAAAGAATTCATGAATATATTAAAAAGAGCCCTAATTTTCAACTATTGAACTATGAAATCTCTAACACAGATGTATATTGATGGCAAAAGTTATAAAATAAGGTCTCAATATATGAAGCTTAGCGAAGATGAAAACACTAAATCGAAACTTACTCAGCCCCTGCTGTGCCTTTCTCCATCTTCTTCCTGAAAAAGGAGAATATTTAGCAAGTGTTGATAAATGAATTTTACAGCAAAACCCCGCTTTCAAATAATAATGACATGTTATTAAGCTTGGCTTAGCTATATATATATATACCTAATTTAAATGGAGACTTTATCCAAGGTTTTGTTGTTCCATTCCAAGTTAGAATCAATTACCCTAAGGGCTAATTGTTTAGATTATTCCTCTGTAAATGTCCCTATAACGATGCATCTCTGTTTAGAAAGTGTCATACTTATAAAGATAACCTTTTATATAGGTATATGCGGTAAATATTGCAATCAATGAATGTAAAATGTGATTTCTTACGTGATCTTTGGCTCTTGAATGGTCATCTTGGACATCGATTCAACAGGCGGTTTAGACTATAAAAAAGTTTATATATGAAGAAACATTAATCAGAAAGTGCAGCCTTATTATGAACTTAGGATTTTTGATAACATTCATGATTGGAGGGTCATTACAGCAACATTCAATAATATGCATGTAGAATGACTGTATAATTTGAATGTAGAATGACTGAACAAAATGTGTCATTCAGTATAAAACTGATAAGAACAGCTTGTATGAGAATCTTGGGAAAACTTTTCTTGTATACAGTCAGACATCTATGAAAAAATTCTCTAATTCAAAAGGTAAAATTCAGAACTCCTAGAACAAAAAAGCTTGGATTAAATAAATACAAAGATATTATTGTTATAGTACCTCTGCAGCAGGTGGAGGTTGACTTGCTGAAATAAAATTAAAAATCTATAAATCTTAATCAATTGCCTGGTGATTGCAAACGTGCAAAACTCAGATTAGTGACTAAGACAGTTCGTCTACACACCTAAGCAGTCTATGTCTTTATCTAGTATATAAATTGTAGCTTTGACAATTAAATATTGGATGTATCAATAGCTGGGAAATCAAGTCTGATACATGCATAATAAGAGTATCAATACATACCTAGAAAATCTGACAGCCTAAAAAATCTCTCTCAAAGTTAACTTAGGCTACTATTTGGAATTTGTGCATAGCAAATTTGTGAAAATAAATATTTAATCAAAATACAAGTTGGTGAAAAAGAACAGAATGGTTCTAAGCGGCATGTATGTCTGTATAGCCAACAACTGAGGATTACAATAAGGAAGTAAAAGTTGAAAAAAGCATACCTGCTGAAGCTGTCTGTGCCATTAGTTGAGAGGAAATCCCTCTGCCAACCTGAAATTCAAAATAATTTACTTAGACATACACAAAATGCAAAAATATTTTTAGTGATCTTAGATTATTTGACTCTTTTAAGAGTATTTATAAACATCAGAATGACCTTGTTAAATACTTCCTGATCAAAAACTATACCTTCTATAGTTCTTCATAAATCATTAATCTTGATTGTTTTTTTGACATAAGTACTTCAAATATATACATAAAAATCAAGGACCAAGATAACGGGGGAGGGGGGGGGTCCAGGGAGCCTTGGCACCCCCCCAAAAATCTTAACTGGCATAAGTAAACTACTTTCATTTTGTAAAATATGGCTGTTGTTATACCAATTTATCAGGGCTAGCCCCCAAACAAAAACTTGAATCTTGGTCTTTGATAAAAATACTTATGATATAAACTTGGCCTGTTACGTATCACCAGCAAGGCAGCCAGGCTGGTAATATTGGGGGACAAAGGTGGGATGAGCAAGGAAGAAATCGGAGTCCACATCCTTTGGAACACAAAAAAACCCTTTTATGTTAGAAAAATGTTTCACCATCGACAGGTATCTGCCTCCTCTTGCCGACCCCTCACTATGCTACTGCATATCACCAGCAAAAAATGTGCTCCTATTGACCTTTGTAAACTAATTGAGCCCCAAAAAGTGGTAAGCTTTCTGTTTCAAAAGATATGCCATACACAACATCAAAGCACCAAGATTAAACAACTCACTGGCAAAGATTTTTGAGCTGCATCAGTTTCTGTAGGCTTAGCCTCCTGTGGTTGCTGCTCTTGCTGCTGCTGTTGTCCAGGTGCCGGCTGCCCAGGTAGCTTGACAGGTTTCTCAAGGGCCTGATTGAATAAAGAAAATATCATGCTTCACTGGTTCATTCTCTGCAACAAAATGTTTTTCCTTTGAAAATATAAAATATAGGTCCATGCAATGAATGCTGTCATTAAAACACTGTTGGGGAACCCCCAACTAAAAGACATAAAGGATATTTCTTATTGGTGTCTATAAAATGTTGGGGCTTTAAAAAAGTTGAAAAATCCATTGAACTGGAGCCACAAAAATTGTTTTTTAAGAAACGTATAAAAACATACAATAAGCATTTTCCACATTTCTTGTAATCCAATAGGGATAAATAGTTAATCACAAAAATGTATATCTATTTATAAATCTAATTAAAATTAGATATATATATAAAAGATGGAGCGAAAGTGAAACGTCTTATGAAAGTGTTTTTTTATTTCATATATCATTTAAATATTTTACAATTATGAGCTTTTAAATACATATATATTTATGTAGATCTTCAAGAAAAACACTCTCGTGTAAACGTTTCGACCCAAGTCTTCATCAGTAAGAAAAAACATCAGTATTACTGATGAAGACTTCGGTTGAAACGTTTAAATGAGATTGTAAATATATATAATTATAGTATATATATATATATATATTTATGTCATGCCATGTCATGTCATGTTAGGTTATATGTCATGTAATGTCATGCAATGTCATATGTCATGTTATGTCCTGTCATGTTAGGTTATAAGTCATGTAATGTCATATGTCATGTTATGTCATTTTACTATTGATTGTCATAAGTTATGTTCTGTCATGTCTTGTTATATCATAAGAAATTGTATGTCATATGCAATGTAATGTCATTTTCATTTATGTGTTGTTATGATATACTACAAAGTGACATATATCATAGTTATCTTCGCAGAATGCTATTATTTAATAGAGGTTTCCTTCTTTTAATATGCTTGCAAATATATTATGTAGAATAAAACATATAAGATATAATATAATATGGTTGCAAGACAAGATATATACTGGTCATTCTGGGAAATCTTTGAGCCTAAAAAACAACCTTGACATTAGTTTGCAAAATCAGTTTTAAAGAGAGCAAAGGAAATATTGTTGTAAAACACATCATTTAACCCTTAAAAATTGAAAAAGATAATTAAGAAAACATGATATGGTTTGGAATTCCCTGAAAGGCTGGATTCCTGGCGCACTACCCTCATCAATATGCAATTTGAAAACAAAATTGGCATGATATGATGACACTTAAACAATTTATTTGATTCATTATTTCCTTCATTAAAATATCAAAAATTGATCCGATGGCTATCATTTCATTGTTTATCTTTGAAGTGTTGTTTATAGTATAAAAACATATCTGAGTTTTTTCAATTGCAATTTGTACACAAATCAGTTTACCATTTGACAGTTTGTTTATACTTCGGCGGATTAATTCTGGTTCTTTTAAACCAAAACAAACAAATTAAAAGTAAAGAAAGTTCATTATCACAGATAAACACTATGATATTGCAAGAATGCACTTGTCAATACGAATTCACCTTCACTGCCTACCAGACTATAGCGTTTTGACGATAATAACTCATAATAAAAAATAGGCATAATTAGTTTAGGCCATGGTTGAATTTATGTAGGGGGAACCCCCTTTTCAAAAGGCAGCAAACGATGCTTACCTTCAGTAGCAAGGCCCCTCGGCCCCCACGACCGAGACCAGACATCTTTCTTTAACCTCTCCTTGTTTCCAACAATATTTCATAAAATTATTTCACTCTATGTCAGAATTTGTCCTCCATCCCCTCGTGCAAATGACAAACTATGAAGTGAGAGAGAGTCGTTGAATCATGGGTATCAATTGCATCACGGGTAGCGACTGACGTCATCTGGGGGTAATTGCAGCAATGTCTAATTTTTCTGCGTAGGTAAGGACGTCGTTTTCATTTCCTTCTTCAACAAAACAATATAATTTCAAAGCTCAGACTATTTTCTTGTGGAATTAAAATATTGATCAATGTGTTCAAAGCGCTATAGCGTTTATGTCCAATGATTTGACTTTCAAATCAGGGTTGACTTGGCTCCTCCATTTGTTTCAAAGCCGGAATTTGATCATAAGCCATACAGCTCATCATAATTTATATTGTCGTTATCCTTAGGTACAAAAGGGGGATAAAATGGTAACTTACAGTTTTTTACCAAATAAATTCTGTAGTTCGTCTAAATCCGATGAAACAGTTTTAAGGCGGAGGACATATTTTGGTGAAGTACTTCAAGGTGGGATTTTATGATTTTGAGACTGTCACCGCGTGGCTAATTATCAATCAAGGGCGATCTCCTTTCTTAGCACGGGGGTTTCCAGCTGGTATCAAGTCTAATTTTTCATTATATTTCTCAGCAGCTAGCACCACCATTCTATTCATTATATCATTATATTAGGCAGCTAGCACCACCACAGCCTTTATCTAGATGTTGTCAAAGCATTCAGTGAAGTCATCTTCCTATGACCTTTCATTGTCCAAAAATCATCGCTGAATTAAGCTATGCTTCCCAAGATGAAATAGATTTAGAAAATAATAATACATTTGCATAGTAGTATGATCAGTCTACCTTTTTTACTCCTTTTAGTGAACACCAACAGGTCAGGCAAGCTTTCTTTATGTTTCTAAAGTTCCTTTAACCGGGTAAGGTAAACCTTTTTTATTGGCTATATTACGTGAATATAGTTTCTTATGTTCTTTGAGCCAAGTACAGTCCTCTAAAACAAAATCTTATAAACATTTATGCCACAAGTACTATGAAATCCAATGTGTAGCAGGGTGTACGACACAAAAATCTTCTTTGTCTGTACTGGATAGGAGGAAATAATAAATTAAAAGATTGAACTGAACTTGAACTGTTAATTTAACATATACATAGCTAAACTGTCTCTACATAGCTTTGGCCTAGATTTTTCAGCAATTTAGGCATCCAGTGACAGCATGAATGTCCTTATTAGCAGCCAGATTTTATCATTTGAACTCCAACTTGGTGTGGAACACTAAAATGCTACTCCCATGGATGCAACTTCTAGAAAATCTGATTTAAATCAACAGGAGAATTATTTCTTCTTATATTGATAACATATTTATTCAATGTTTTCAGGAAACATTGGATGATATGTGACTATCGTTACTTATGTCAATAAGCACATAAGATTTCGAAAATGACTAATTGATTATTATGCATGTTCGGCAGTTGTATAGACATTCTTTATTAATAAAAATAAGATTCTTATCTCAACCGATGCGAAGATCCGTAAATTTAGAAAACATTTATCAATATTTGCTCTGTATTAATAAACACATTAATCAGTTTGGAAAACTAATTAATTTGTGAATTGATGGTGAATTGAAATCAAAAATCTATACCATCGTTATGTAAAAATAGCAGTGCACTTTAAAAGCGGCTAATCTCAAAATTAATACTTTGGAGGTTTGATGGCACTACAAGCGTGGCTGAAGAAGAGGGGCCTCAGGGAGCTCAGTCCCCTTCTAATTTGCAACGGAGGGTTGTGCCACCTCCTCTTTTTTTCTGGGTAGCCCCAAAATATCATGATTAATTTCTGCCAAGATCAGGGGCGGACTGGCTAATTATTTTGGCCCGGGCAAATTTTGATCAAACCGGCTCACAATAATAGCAAATAAAAACTCCTTGGAAAATACAAGTAAATGTTAGTCTGTAAGGAAAACAAGTTTTTAAATTCAGTAATTTAGTGCACGGATGAATGCTGGTTAACAGAATATGGTTAACAGAACATGTTAAATATGTCATATGCTGACTAAACAGTAAATAAACAAAAATTGTAACTCCTTGGCTTGACTCTGATTCTAAATACAGGAACTTATATGTTGATAATGCGATCGTTCTGGATGTCATCTAACAGGTATTTTTCTAAGAACATTAACATGAAGGACTCCAGGTTTGGCTGCGAAAAATTACTACGTAACCTGTTTTTTATATATTTAAAGTGGAAAAGCTTCTATCACACTCCACTTGTTACAAATAATTTTCTAATCCTCCGGAAAACCACAATGATTTTCAGCAACCCAAAAATATCAATTTGTCAATTTCTGACCCCAAAAAGAAAACATGGGCACCCCTGTTGAAATGTTATCGTGTAACACCATACCATACTGTTGGGCAGGGGGTGCATTTGATTTATGATAATATAGGCCTAATAAACTTTCCATAACTTGTTTGAGTTTGTTGAAAGGAGCAAGAGCAAGACCCTGCTGTTTTTGTGATGTTTGTGGCTTTTGCTTGATAAAAAAGCTTTGTATCGTAGCTGAATCCTTTTTTAAGTCTCGCAGCTTAAGCAATAGCTTGTGCTTAGGCAAAAACATGACCAGCTTCAAGCAAAAGCTAAGTAAGAAGACATCAAGGCAGGTTAAAATCTTATGTATCGCCTTGAAACAGGGGTGTTACAGTATAGTATGTCGCCAATAAGGAAATACCGTCAACAGAAAATATAACAATAACATGTTTCCTGAAGAAGTGTGTCTGGGCTGCGGTGACAATAATGAATTCATAATTTTAATGGTTCTCGAGTGCTTGGATGTATATTTATTCTTTCCAACAATTCAAAATTCAAGTGTCTCTGAAAACTCAAGGCAAACAGATCAACGCGTGGGTATAAACAGCAAACAGATCATCTGCACTTTTATCAGCCGGCCCTCAAACCGACCGGCCCTTCGGGCGATCGCCCGAATAACCCGACCAGCCAGTCCGCCCCTGGGCAGGTTGGCAGAGCACCTTTCTACTTTTTGAAGGGGGGCTGCGCCCCCTCCTCTTTTTTCGGGGCATTTCTAAAATATTATAGCTAATTTCTGCCAGGATCAAATCTTTGTTTGAACCGATATTACTTTTTGACCTTTGCTTTCATGTGTGACCTTAATCGCTGAAAAGTCAATAAATGCTGGCAAAATTTTACTACTTTAAATTCTTAAATTTTAAAATTGTTTCAGATAAACATTGAAAGATGATTCAACCCTAGAAAAAATATTGAGGGACCATGCAAACGAAAACAACTGAAATGTTTATTTTGTATTCAATATAGAGAATGATCCTCTCTACATATTTTAGCTCTGCACTAGTGACTACAAGCTATATACCAGATTCAGATACCACAATACTGGATACGGCCAATAACATTAGAAGAAAAATTCTTTAACACAAATAATTTAACCATGTCTGCACTCAACGCCTTGTTGTTTTCCGTTTTGTGAATAAGGGGTTCTCCATAAGCCAGTAGCACTTTATGTTGAAAATCTGTTATTCTCTTCAACAACTAAAAATGATAAAGCTTTAAAACTATTCTTAAAATATCTTGACATATTTGTGCGCTACAAAATCGCTTTGCACTTAGTCGATTATTAGATTACTGGAGCTAAATATTTATAGCATTCCTAAAGCCAATAAAGGCTTTCAATTCAGATCAAAATTTTTATTTGTTCTCAAAGCCTGACTGTAAATAAAATTAACTTTCCAACTCTCTCTAGTTATTTTCTATTAATACCAGCTTGAATAAAAAGTGCTGCAGAAGATCTCGAATTCTTGAATGTACTTTAACTTATACATTAGCAAATTTGCAAAATGCTTTCGTATTTGGCTGTTTTGATGAGCACGTCCAAAAGAGGATGTTCAAAAAATGTTCACGCCGGTTGGTTAAGCCCAATAAAGGAAAGAATTTGGTCATGTCGATGTTTTTTCTGAGCCAAACTAGGTAACTCAACAACATCATACTCGACTTTGCGACAATGCATAGAGAATAAATACTTTCTTTTACTTCAAAACAAAGATCAAATTTAACGCTGACGTCATCACCTGTGAATCACAACAGCAAAATAGAATAACAATTTTGATCTAAGTTAAACTGAACATTATGATATCAAAAAACATATTTACAGAATATACAGTGCGGTAAGGCATTTGTTTCTGCCTTCATAGTTGCTTCTCAATATGTTTAAGGTATAGGTCATAGAATAAAGAATTAATTAAGACTCTTTGTGTCGCTCGCTGTTTATAAGATCAATACTCTATTTTCAAGAAATTGGTTTGACTGGAGTTATCAAAAGAATGCAAAAGAGGCATGGATGTCAGAAGCGTCTAAAAGTTAAAGGGGAACAGGTAGGGAGGGGCATCATTTCGCAGGGAAAAGTGTTTTTTTTCTCAAAAAGACAGCTTCTTAGAAAAAAGGGTCTGTTACCAAAAGTTGCACCCCTTGTTCTAACTCTTCAGCAATAGGCATTGTAGCTAGAACGATATTAAGATAAATTACAAAAGCTCTGTCTAGACTGATAAAGATTTAGTGCGATAATACCGGTGACGTGACAAGGAAATGGTAAATAGTGGTATGCTCGCAATTGTACCACCTAGTGGAGCTATAGAGGTATGCTGACAAAAGACCAACTGAGACATTATCTGTATAACCCATTGGGCAACCCCTTTTTTCTATAAAGTTAATTTAGTTTGGATTATGCAAATGTTGTATGTCTCTTTACGCTTAGCGATTCCTATAACTATTATAAATATGGAAGTTCTTTCTTCTTTAGAGTCAAATTATTTGTGAAAATTTGCTTCACTGTAGAGTCGCTAAACAAACTAGTTTACTCATAACAACCCTAATCCAACTTGCAAAAATTTACAACAGTGATATCTCATTCTAAGTTTATTGTTTTCTGTCTCTGTTATAACGTTCCATAAAAATTCAATATCTTCACACATCATGCCTTGTTTCCCGCTTACAAAGTCACCCACCCGGACCCACTCTGTGTACCGCGCAGTGCATCGTGGTCCACCAATTGAGCCCGGCAGCCCAGGAAGGCCCCTTGAACCTCGTTTTCCCTTTTGTCCTTTTCTTCCCTTTGGACCCACGACGCCTCTCACACCTTTAAGCCCAATGCTACCTTGTTCGCCTTGAGAGCCTGAAAACAAGGAAACAATTTTAGTACGAAAACCTGATTTAAAATCGGTTGTACGTGGGCTTGGTGGCTTCATTTCCATAAAAGGGCAAACCTCACACAAATTCCTATGAAAAAAACTTGTCACATTTGATTGCGGCCTATCAAAGTTGTCGAAAGTTCATCATCTATATAAATAAAGTCCAAAAACTGCCAATTACGCTTGACTGGGACAAACATAAGTGAACACGGATCTTTGACCTTTTTTAATCAAGAATATTCAGATAAAGCACAAACTTAAGAGGTGGTAAATCCAACAAAATACAAACTTTTTTGACAAGATGTTGTTCTAGGGGATCTCTTATAAAAATTCTCTCCTCTTATGCACTTACCTATGAAGCTTCTTATAAGACTGGTATGTCAATAGTTCGCATACAGTTACTTGAAGAATGTTCATTATGGTTTTTGTATCGGTATTTCAAAATCATTTTTTTTTATTCGAAAAAATAAAAATTATGAAACCAACGCTGGTTCCTAACATGAGCAAGAAAAAGCCAGTGATACCTTTCATCCCTTGTTTCCCTGTTGACCCATCCAGGCAGACGAGACCAGATGCAAAATTCACACAACCATTTATCTTGCCAGGTTTTCCCATTGGGCCTGGCTCACCGGCATCGCCCTGTTTAGAAAATATTCGAGTTTGCTCACGACTTTAAATCAAATCTACGCTTTGCTAACAAGCCAAAAAAGTGGTAAATTTCTATCAAAAACAGTTACTGTTGCCATAATTCTTAGCCTGACAACCTTAAATGAATGTAAGTTATACAAATATTTGCATTCACTAAAGTATGCCCGATCAAAATAAAGCCAACTTTAAAAAACACAAACAATCACCGTTACAAAGTCCAAAGACATAAGTAAATGTTTGGTAAGTAAAATACTAATATAAAAATATCTGAGTACAGTAAACTCTTCACTGGGCTACACTATAGTTATGCCATAGTTTGTTTACATGAAATCCCAAAAACCCCAGAAAAACACTTAAAAAATTGCCAGAGTAGGTGCGTTTGTGCATTTTGCTTTTACTTTTGAAAATTGAAAATTGTAATAATTATGCGAAAGAACTTTGTTTTTAACAAAGATATATCATTATACAGGTGTTGATAAATGCTCCAACTTACTGTGTCTCCTCTGCTTCCACGTTCACCTGGAAGGCCCTGAAAGCCAGTTGGACCTCTTGGACCAGGCTGGTGAGAAATTTTTAGAGCTAAGATACCCTTGTATGTAATAACCGAAACGCAAATCTGCATAAGACGGTAATGAAGATTACTGTTAACCGATCTGTCGCAAACTGCTTGATGCCATGCATGCCCGTATAAGCTAAGCTGTACTTGCTTTAGTATACTGATCAGGATGAATCCAAGTTGCTGTTATTACGTACGAGGAGGCACTAATCTTTGATTGCATTGAGAATGAAACTCGGTGTGGCAACTTGAAAAACTGTTTTAAATACCAGAGCTAACATCAGAAATAATACTAGTGGTATATAAATCGATTGGTTTTTATTTAAAAAAGGTTCCGTTTTGGACAGCAAAGCATGAAAAACCACATGTTGTATCATGAATAAATTGTTGAAAGCTACTTACGAATCCAGGCATTCCGGGTGTGCCAGGCGTACCTTCCTCTCCTGTTTCACCCTGCAAAAGTCAAATTACCCTGTGAAAATGATATCCAAATCAGACAATCCAACGCCTTTCGGTGTTTCGGGGAACTAGTGTAAGAATCTGTTTAGGTTTCTTCAAATACTTCTACGTATATTTACGATTAACTGAAAACATCGAGATATTTGAACGATGGGGCTATGCAGCATATTTTCGATTCATTAACTTGAGCTTCTTTTTTCTCATCTACTTCAAATGTAAATATTCCAACTTTTGAGCAAAAGTTCCGAGTTATTGCAAAATTTATGCTGCTTTTCATTTCTTTGCCTCTTTGATTTTTTTTATTGTCTTTTTTTGCTGCATTACTGTAGTGTGCCCCCCCCCCACATATTTTTGCGTGATGTGTTACTGGCCATATTTTCGTGCGTGAAAACGTGAAATCTCGATTTTTTATGCGTGATTTCGTGAATTAAGATTCCTACGTGAAGCGTGAAACATGAGTTTTTTTTGCGTTGTGTCGTGTAAAGGCTTTAACTATCCGTGAATTCGTGAATGAAATTTTAAATGATAATTTAAAAAACTGCCCTCAATTTGGTGCGTAATAAACCAATGATAGTTAAATCTCAAATTAGTATTTTTGAGGTTGAAGATAGTGTTGTAGTCCTTCAAACACGGCTCTGATGAGCAATAGCTGAAATTACATTTACTGTTTGCGTGAGCGTGAAAATCCAATTTTGCTGTGCGTAAATGCGCGAAAAGTAAAAATATTGTGCGTGAATACGTGAATCACGACCACTATGGTGGAGCCCCTAGTGTGTTTCTTTGCCTTAGCACCGTACATTTTCCTCAACAACAAAACTTTAGCGACAATCCTCATCTCATTCAAACTCCCAACCAAATAACTACTATGTGAACGAAAACCACAAAATCGTAATCCAATCTTTAGCATGAAACAGTAAATTTTCCTTAATTATCTCGCACCACAGATCTATAAATCCGCCCAAAAACATGAAATATAACCACAGATAAAGAGCATAGGTAATCTTAATGGGTTTGTTCTGTGAAGAGTTCTCTCTATCTAATATCACAAAGTGAGTAAGTGTCAATCTTACTGGTGGGCCTCTCGGCCCAGGCCTCCCGGGCTTTCCACGGATGGCTCTTGTATACCTCCCTCTGCTTTCTGTTGCTGTACTAACTGAATCCTAAAAATAAAAAAAACATTATTTAACATCAATGGAATATTCAATAACTTCGAATAATGCTAGATCTTGAAATTTAAGCTGTTATTGATATGATGCATTTTGAGAAACTATTTTGCTGGCAGCAAAATAAAAGACAGCGAGGGGAATGTGTTGTCTTTTGACATTTTCTGATGACAAACAGTTGCTGTCATGTGAATGCAAGCAAGGAAGTGTAGATGTTAAAAATGAAAGTCTAGAATCTCAGAATAGCAATTAAAATGCTCAATATTATCTGCTTATCAACTCGATTGAGGGTAAGAATAAATCATGCCTCTTTGAGTACTCTCTCCTTTCGTTATTTGTTTATGAAAAAAGGATTAATTTTAGTTTGCCTGATGTTCGGAATTCAGACAGTTATCCAGACCGTAGCAAAAATAAAATAGATTTGAAAGTTAATTGGCATTGTTAAAAATTTCAGATAACCAGAAACCTCTTTTTAAGTATTTTAGAAAACCAAAGTTTCGTCTGAACTTTCATAGAATAAATTTTTTCCAACGATAACACGACAGTTTACCGGTCAATGGGACATAAGCAACCTTCTTATGAAATGGGTTTCTAGAAACACCTAGCAGAATTATTTCATTAAACTGACTCCAGTATCAAATAACAAAAGCAACATTTTCAAATTACTCAAGTATAATTTGATTATAACTGTTCAAAAAGAAATGAAACGCATGCATGGCGAGCTAGAAAAATACTAATATGTGATCGATGGCTGAATTTAGACCAACGTCCAGTTACTGGTGCCTGTGTTTGGATGCACGAGTCGAAAATGCAGTGAGTTTTAGCTGCATAATGTAACCTTCAGTCATGAAAGCGCAAAAAGACAAACAGGAGAAATTTGATTTGATTTGCAAAAACAAAAGGCTGTTGCTAATTTATAAGAAATTACAAAAAACTTTAGCCACTAACATATGTCGGTGCAATGGGTTTAACGTCAAGCCAGTTCAGTAGCTCTTCAACGAACACTTGACAAAACGATTGCCAAAAGGTAGTTCAGATAACCAAATTTTTACACTTAGATTTTTGTTAAAGCATGGAAACATTTTAAAGGAATTATAGTAGGGTATTAAAATTGCTTTGTTATCCTTCAACTGATAACGTACAGTTGAGATAAAACCCCATTATCACATTTCCTGTTTCAACTTCACACAGAGCAACTTCGGAGAAAGAGAGATAAGAAATTATGTACAATATGAATCAATGCATCAAAATCTTGAAAATTAGGTTAATTTGTGCAAAATTTTTTCGCATCAAATCTGTTTTGGCTATTGATAACGTATCTGCTTCCTACGTTATTAGGCCACTTAAGAGGAAAAAACGAAGAATTGGTATAAAGTCACTCTTCCGCGAGCACCTCTTCAAGAGTTTCACGAGCACCTCTAATGCAGACGACTAAGTTTTCCAAATGTGGCTTATTAGCTTGACAGCCGCCACTTTTTTTGAGAGAAGAACTAAAATTAATACGTTTCTAAAACATTTGCATCTAGCATTGGTACTTACCACATCAAATGCACTGGTTGAAGGTGAGCTTATTACGTACAGAAGGACGATCAATACGAGTGCAAATCCATCAAGTTTCGACACCATCTTTATTGTTTTTGACGCTAATTCTACATTACTACGAACGTCAATTTGATCACACCGCAGTCAACTTCGTGTCATTATCGTCAGTCCGGATCAGATACATGAAATAACCCGTAATGATGTTTTTTTGCTTCTTGAAACCTTCTTCGCACTTAATCCATCAAAACCTGGCTGTGTGTTTTACGTTTCTATTTTGCCATGCGATTTCTCCTTGAGGTTTTAAAGAGCTTTTTATTATAAAACAAAATTAATGTCGGTAAATGGATGTCCAGAGCATTAAGGACTGACTACAAAAGGGATTATTTTACGATTTCGAGACCCTGACCTTAGAACAAAGACATCAAAAGGAATCTAAGTAAAAACGCAGTTGGCCTTTTTTGATCGCATTTCCTGAACTTGGAATGCATCTCTTTAGAATCGATTGAAATTGGGGAGATATCGTGCGGGCAGTCAATAAGCTTTGGCGAAAGATGACGCTGACAGGGATATTGCGACATACGCACACTGTCAGCCAATACTCCTCCGCAGCAAACCTTGCAAAAAAGATTGACGTCATTTGGTCCAAGACCTCCGTAACAGATCTAAACGCGTTCCTGTGGAGGCATCGCTTAAGTCCCAGAAAGTTTTACAGGTACAAAAGTTTTACAGGTACAAAAGGCATGATGTTAAGTGAAACTTTTAAGGCACTTGGTTGAGGCTGATCACTGTAACAATGATAGAAATGACAACAAAAAGTAGCCTTGAATTCAACGAAAACGTTGCTTTCTTAAAATTGGCAGAAACTCTTCTTTCCGTTTTCTTTATCATCTTATCGATGTTATCCAAATAAAACTGTCTGTATAAAATACCTTTTCTCAATAAACTCAGGGGGGGCGATATCCCCTGTTTATAAAGCACTTGCATCAAACTACTTTCCACATAAAAGAAACCGATTGTATAATTATTTAACTTTCCTTTATTTAAAAAATTCATTGAAACTCGTTACTTCTGGGATTGAAATCTCTGTAAGGGCCCGTTGAAATCTGGAGATTTTCAGTTCCTTAGTTTAAAACCTGGAAATAACAACAATTTCTATTTCTTCAAACTTTTTTTCTAAAGCCTACTCTTAATTTCTATCGACCCTTGCATTGAATCTCGTCAAATAACTACATACCGTCTAAAACAATCCTTATTCCAATCGCCCTTAATCAACATTCTTTACTTCCTCTGAAGAGGATTAGCCAGGTTGAATTGAAAGTTGTAAGTTATTGGTTCATGGCCTGAGGGGAATTGATTTTGCTAAAAATTTATGGTCAGGAATCAAGCTTTCCAAAAAGAGTTCTTGCATATGATTGTACTTATCGTGACACGTTTTGCATCTAATCTTGCTTTTTAGTCCGAATTTTTGTCTTATTGTCGACAGGGTTTTATCTATTACAGTATACTATATCGTTTTATCTATTAACCATCAATTTGGGGCTGATAACGAAAATATTTGAACCAGATATGATTTTGATTGACACAATTATATTTGCAAAACCAACTGTCTTTTGAAGGGGTTTAACACTCTCTTATTTTAGTGTCCTTCCTCTAAGACTCTGTTTGTTTATGTGGTGTCTTAAAATATCATTCCTGCCTGCATGTAATATATTTGCCAGAAATAGAATATGCTGTTTGTCAAAGAAACACTTTGCAAAGTTAAATCAAGCTACCATGGGGTCCAAATAGCACGCTGTTACGTATTTTGAAATATAAAACCTACTTCATTTTAATCGCTTTACATGCTTTATAAAAATATTCTCAGGGTACCAGATGAGTTTCCCGAATTACTTCCCAGGCTATGAAAGTGTACATAGGCTTTCGATACACAATAAATGGATGAATATCGTGGTGGGCCTAAGAAAAGTATTCCTTAATCAGTGAACGAGCTAATTCTTTTCAATTATACCCCTAATGAAATGATATCAAAAGTATCCAGGATGTGAGAATCAGAAAAGAAAAATATAAACAAAAAAAGAGGAACACAAGGAATTCAGTTTACGAGTTTTGATTGCAAGTTGATCTGCAAAAATTAAATGCATCAAATATGCTTAAGAGATATTATCCAATTTACCTTTAGGTGTAATGCTAAAAGAGATTATCAAAATAATCTTGTAGGTAAATAATTGAAAACACCTCTTCTCTCTCTCTTATAGATGGATAGTTGAAACACTTCTTCAGTCATAGGAATGAGTTTGCTAGGCAACAAATGGAGATGTCCCATATCAACAAGTCTAATGTTCTATGATTCATTGTATATAATCCAAATAAGTGAACTCGCTTAGTGTGATACATTAGAGGTTTAGCGATAGGCACAAACTAACATCATGTTTGCAAATTGTGCTCAATATTGTATCAAAATATTTTTGAAGAAACTATAGGGATTTCTCGACAAGAACGGACTAAATAAGTAAATGAAAAAAACACTGTTGGGAAATTATTTGAAGAACAAGCCTAATCACCTATGTGACAACAAATGTATAGAGTCTGGTGTGCCTCAAGGAAGTGTGTTTGGGCCTTTTCTATTCATAATATTCATAAAAGACTTGCTGAATGTCTTAAGATAGTAAAGTTTTGGGTGGACTTGAGCTTCAGTCCTTAACATATTAAAACCCCTCTAAAAAGCAGCAAGAGTTTTTTTCAAACATTAGTATGTGCACTCAAAACCAACTAAAAAGTAGTTAAATTCATCAAAACTTGAATAAAATAAAAAATTTATGTTTGATATATTAAAAGAACATACTGGAGATTTCTTTGCTGAATTTTTTCAGCTAACAACTCAGCTAACGAACATTTTTAAATATTTCATTATCTACCAGGTTCGGGGCTTGAAAGATCTTTTAGAGCTCTTTCCGTGAGCCCTCTTCTGTATTTCAAATTGATGTTTTTAGTAATAATCTTCAAAAAATGGCTAATACATAGGAGTTGAACTTATATAGAGTGACATCAAAATTATTTCAAGAATGGAAGATTTCACAAGCATTGGTGGTTTAATGGCAGGTGACATAAAGGAGAGATTTCAGGAGAAATTTATTTTCCATTGTCTGGAAGTATCCGTTATTAGGAGGGGCTAGATATTTGAGGTCTCTCTGTATTCCAGATAACACTCCAGATAACAGATCTTATTGATAAACATAATTAAAAAAATCGGCAAATAGAGAATCTAGGTTGTATATTCGGTCTAGGTTTCTGAAACGAGGTAATTAGAAAGAGCTTTGGAGAATAATTTTCATCCAATGTCATCAAAGGTCACTTGTGAATTCACTTGCCAAGTTTTCTATTCGATAGAGCAACTTTTCTCAATCGCTTTTTATGCATTCAATGCATGCATTACGTAAATTCTAACTGGAGGTCCTAGAAAGGTCAGTCTTGGTTGGAAGAGGTTATCAGAAAGAATTCTGTGAATTAAATTAATAAAGCGGTCTCCGGGCTATAATGCAAGCCAACAATGCATAGCTTTATGTTTTGAGACGTCTGAGAAGGCTTGATCCTTCTACATTGATGCACAAATATTTTATAGGAACTTACAATTATATTGGCACTTTAATTCAATGCTCAAATAAAACGTGATTCGACAAAAAGACAGTACTTGCTCTAGAATATGAAAATACCCCTAAGACAAACAGGGCAAGAATTTCGTAATGAAAGTCCTATTCTCATGTTAGCATTTGAGTCTGCTTAAACTAAAAGACTTCTCATTTATGTTAAAAGCTCTTTAAGCAAGATGATAAAAGCTCTTGATGATAAAAACCTTCAATTTTTGCGCCTTATGGAAGGGCATTTAGAGTAAAATATTATATAATGCTTTGAAAATACTGTCATATAAGGGGCTTTGGTTGGAGAAAAAAATCTGTTCAAAAATTGCATAGAATGAAAAAATTCTATTCTGTTACTTTTTCAAGAATTTCGTCATGTTTTCTTTTTGTTTAAACTATAGGCCCTATAAAATTCTATACAATATGAGAACATTATTAATAAAGTAGAAACATCTCGAATGTTTAAAAACTTGGGGAATAAACTTCAGAAAGCAAAGTATTACAATGATTAGGCTCTGGATTACAGTGAGTAAGATTATCAGAAAATCGGTGTATTTTTAATGGCTACCTTTTTTGTGGTGATATCGCATGAAGTACCTTAAGTGCAGTTTACATCAAGTAATGTATGTATCCTGGCACATCTGACAAAACTCCTCTTCCCAAGCAAAAAAGAATCTGCCTTTGATGCAATTTTATATCCAAAAACGTAATAGCGTAGGGAAATTGTTCAAATTGAAGTGTCCTAAATTTACACAATTATTCGAGAGGTATAATTTTTTGATGTAAATTGAAATGTCCCAAATTTACACAATCATTTGAGAGGTATAATTTGATGAGGCAAGAAAAAAATGACCTGATTCCCCATCAATGTATATGCATTATCAAAGAGTGAGAAAAATCGTTACCTGTAGAAAAGGTTTCGCTCATTCTCTGTCTTACCTAAATTTGTTTATTGTCGTTTTTGGGCTTTAAGCAAACTATTTCACCACCAATGCGATCTTTTAACTTGAATATGTAACGCTGCAGTAGATTAAAGGACATTTTAATCTATGCTCAAAGAAAGCATACATATCCAATGTCTTGGAAACCAAAAAACAGTTCTCTTTTCTGTTTCCCATATCATTTCTATTGAAATTTGACAGTCGATTCTTTTCAACAAACCTCCCAGACGATTAATGACACTTTATTACAAATCCTTTTTGTTTATGTAAAGACCTTTTGGAAATTTTGTTCCGGGAAAAGTTAACACCTATGACAAAAGATTTTGAAAAAAGCTCAATTGTTTTGCGAAAAGTGTGGGGCATGGCCTCCTGTCCCCATTCGGTGGAGGCCCTGCTCGCAATCATGGCAAGGTAATCACTAATATCTAACCATTGAAAAGTTTCAGGAGTCATATATTGATATATTTTAGAATATAATTTTCTTAATATTGGTAACATTCTTAGATTTTCTATTGCTTGCAATTTCTAAGGATCATATAGCATGGTATTCTTTGATTTTTCCATTAATTACTTTCTGGCTATCTTCTTATTTTTCTAGAAGTGTACGTGGATATTTTTAGTGTTTCACCTTTTGAAGAATCAATACCGACAATACGGGACGGATTTACCGAGGCGGTGACACCTGCCCCGAAATAGTTTTGTGTCTTTTGATGAATTTTGCTTTGATTTGGCAAAAAGCAATTTATGGTAGTCAGTAGAAATCAAATGATGAAAAACCATTATTTTA